ACTCCATTTTGGTCAGGATGCGCCTGATCCCACATGCTGTAAACTGGGCGCGGATGTGCATCCGCAACTGCAGATCCTTCTCCGGCGCATCGACAATCATGTTGATGAGAATCAGCGTCGCAACGGCGTATTCCATGAGTAGGTTCTCCATGCCGATGCCACCGCTTCGGACCTCATCACTGGCTCCGACCATGCTGCCCATTTTTCCACGCCCGTCCACGGTGACTTCAACAAGTCGCATCCAAGCGTCGAATCGACCATTTTCTCCTTGTTGTGCCTTGACGGAGTCGAGAGCTTGGATAACCTTCAGGTGACCTTCCCCATCGCCCCAGTGGCACAAGAAAGTGAGCACTTCGCTGACCAACTTGCGGGTTGTCAAGCGCTGGGAGGTAAGGGAAGTCCCTAATGCGATTATGACTTGTTGATGGACTAGAGCATCGTCGGCGCCAAACTTGTTGTTCATCAAGGCCTTTAAACACTTGATGATATCGTATTCGCGGTCAAAGTTTCGGTCTGATCTCCCATCTTGCACCGGTCCCATGGCGGTCTTGCGGTTGATCTTCATCAGGACGTTGGTCAACGCGACTTGCCCCTGACACTCGATGAAGCGCTTAACCCAACCAATCTGTTGCGTTCTGAGGTTGACCTCCAAACTTCCCAAGCCCTTTGTATCCAAGCTATTATCCATCACGCGTCGGACGTACCATTCCGGTGAACCCTCCTCGTCCGAGTTGACCAGAATCTCCGGGGCAGCATACTGATTTGGTTTCGCTGTTTGCCTCCTCTTTTGTTCTCCTTGCCACTCGGTCAATCGGTCCTGGTAAAGCAGCGTCCATTTCTTGTCCGGCGCGTACGCGACCATCTGTCGGCGAGCCTGCTCGGGTAGATTGTGCCATCCTCGTTTTTGCATCAAGGCCAGAAACATCTGGCCGATGATTTCGTCGTTATCCGGCCGGGGGAAATGAAACCCATCGTGTCCAGTGGGCCCCATGCCGGGGAACTTTGTCAGTCGGTGCGAGGAAGGGTGCGTCGAGTCCCTATAGGACATGTGCGAGGAATAGGAACTCTGCGAAGAAGCACTGGGCAGTGCTGGTCTTGATGAGCGATTTGCTGCTAAGTCATAGGTGCCTCCATTACCTGATGAGAATATGCTGGCTTGGTCAGCGGAACTACGACCCGCCGATGTCATGTACGAATCGTATCTGGGGTTGTGGGACCCATTGATTGTGCTCGCCGTGCTTCCGCGAGCAGGCCCTGGTCCCCACTGTTGGTATTGCGTCTGGCGGCCTGTACTGGCCATTGTGATATTTGACGCCGGTGCACGCTGCGCCGATGCATGTGAGCCCGCTCCCCCCGCCATTGTGGACGTGTCGAAGGTGGGATACTGGTGAAAGTCGCTTGTGACTTTATTGAGATGATGCGGCGAAGGACTCGGGCGAAGCACCGCTGCTTGATCGCCCTTGGGTAAGTATTCGATGGGCACTGGTGATCGGTCGGGTATGCTGTCGTAGGGGATACTCGTCATGGGACCGGCAGTCATGCCAGATTCGGGGTATTGGTCGATCGAAACGACGGACGAGTCGCGATGGTGGCGAGAAGCGCGCGAGTGTACGCTGGCCGTATCGGAGTAATCGGCTCCAGCCAGATGGCGACCTTCGTCGCTGGTGTTGCGTTTGTCTTTCCTACTTCGTGAGAAGAAAGATTTTCCTCCTGATGATTGTCTCGACTTGTCGGTGGAAGACATGACGGGCGCGGGACGGGTAGGCAGGTGAAACACCTGGCCCTCTCACGTAAACCTCGATCGATTGGGTGTCTCTTCAGATTCTGAACTGACGGATCTGGGTAATAGTTCGGGCGAGAGGGATGGCCAAGGCCGGTCGCATGATTGAACCTCCTCTAGCTGCTGGACGTGGAGCCTTTCGGAGGCAGTTGGGATAGCAAGTTGCAATGTGGCGCGTTGGAATCTCTGTCTGCATGAATCGGTTATGTTTTAGCATGTCTTCTGCCCAAGTTTGGATCGAGGCAGACAGAGGTTTGGGACTTGAGACCGGGGACTGAAAGGAGGGGGTCCCCTGGGTGGCACTGGACGTACCTGTGTAGTCACCCTCGGATGCGACAAAGGCGGTGGTATAGTATAAAGAGGCAAAGAGACTGATTAATCCGTCGATACTTGGCTCGCTATCTCGAACAGAAATATTTCTGGGCAAGAGACGTAAGGTAACAGATAGGTGTCCGAAAAAGTTGCGCAGGTTGCAGCGAGTACCGTAGGATGGAGTAGGGGTTTCGGAATATGAACAAGATGGAATCGCGAAAAGCAAGTGGTGCGTCACAAAGAATGTGAGGTTGGGTTGCCAGGTATGAAGCAAAGCCGGGACAGGTATCCGAATTCTGCCACGGCCGGTTCGCAGGCTGACGAACTGCAGATGGGTCTGGCGAGCTGACGATGATGATAGCCTTTGGTCGTGTGTATGTTGTGACCGTGGGACCAGGTTTCCCACGTGAGGGGGAGGGAAGGGGAAACGAGGAGCTGAGGTGCTGCTCGCTCGCGCGTTCCGTCGAGAATCCGTTCCTCCACAAGCCGTCCTAGGCTCTAAGGTAGCTAAACAGGCAATTCAGGGCGTTGGCTAGGCGGCAGTTGAGTAATTAGACTACCTAGTTTAGTGGCCAGCGACAGCAGCAGCAGAAGTTCCAGCATGGGATGATGAGGTGGTAGCCGTGCAGGTTTGCTTTTGGGCGGCGGGTGGTCTCGTCGCTGTGAAGACGACGTTACAAAGTGCGGAGTCCCCTGTTGAAACGGGGCCTCGACATGGGGCCGCGATTGACTTGACACTTTAAGGGCAGCAGAATTGCGATTTCTTGTGCGGAAACTGCCTGAGCGTTCTGGGGTGGGAGGAAGAAGAGGACGGGACTCGAGGTGAATGGCGTTGGAAGCGAGAGCCAGTGGGGATACCGGACGGCGCGAATTGGGAAGTCTCGAGGTCTTGGCTCATAAGGTACCGGGCCAGCTCAGTGCGTTGCAGTAGTGACAGCTGGACTGGAATGGGCGCGGGCGCGGCCAGAGACGTAGTGTACGGGATGGATACGAGAAGGTGTGAATGGAAGGGCCGAAGAGAAAAGTCAACGCAGATGGAGGCGCACAATGGACAACAGGAGAAGGTGAGAGGGAGAGAGGAAACTCGAACGCATGCGGCGTTGGCGTTGGGAGGTGGGGATGTTCTGTTGGCGCGCTTGACTTGAGAAAGAAGTTGAGTTGCGCGATAATATTGAGTATCCATAAAGTAGGTAGGTATCCGTACTCCGTATCAAAATCAAAGTGCAAAGGATTATTTGGCCAGGACGCCTCAGGGAGTCAGTGGACAATATCCATCCGCATTCAATACCACGCCGCGCCCATAGAACGGTTAATTAGTATTGGCATGCGATGTGACGGGGCGCCGCAGCCCGCTTGCTGCGTCTTTCAGGGGTTGCGGCCGAGGGACGTGGACTCGGACGACTTCAGGAAGGCACGAAGAGAGAATGACTGTGAGTACATAGGCACACACATAGTCAGGTAGGTATGTGAGTCCGGCGACAAGTAACCCAAGTCCGTGGGTTGAGCCAAATCAAAAGCGCCAAAGATCGCCATCGGCATCTGCAAGTCTCGTGCTGGGTCCGCCAGTGATACGTCAAGCAGCCCGTCGAGAGAGAACTTTAACATTGCCTACCTTATCACCGACGCTCGTGGACATTTGGCGCTTCAACCAGTCGGATTAGCCATACCTTGAAGTACCATCTCTTCTGGCCCATCACCCCAGATGTAATCGATTCTTCACTTCGCAGTCCCTTCTTCGCATTCGTCCGTTTGTAAACGCCCAAAACAGCGAACTCTCGCACTCTCCTTGCGAGGATCTCTAGGCTGTCCATCCAATGACCCAATAGACCCCCTCATTGGGCGGGTTCCTAAAGTATGGGCGGGTTGGTCCCGTGGTCCCTCCCCAGGCTCCCCTAACCCTTCCCTAGCAGACCCTCCGTTACGGTGGTGCTGATGCTAAAGATGGCGACAAGAACCCTGAGGCCCAATTACAATGCTTGCCCTGTCTGTCCCTTTTGAGCCAGAGGGCCTCTCGAACCATGTACCTCCACATGGAAAGGTGGCGGTGGGGAGACAAGACGACTTCCCGAGAGGTCCACACCATTGAGGCCCAGCACCGTAAGCGATATTTGATCGGAATTCTTGGGAGCCTTGACTATTACCGTATTACGACGACCTGTCTGCTTAGTACGGAGTGCTTGGTGCTGCAAACTTTGGACATTTGCTCGCTTGCAGCTTGCCCTGTCGAGATCATACGAGACTGGCATTTCCACTGAGCGTTGCTTTGTTGATGCAGAAATAGAAACATCAACGGCAATCCCACAGTAGCACGGTGGTCCTCAATGGTGCCATTTCTCGAGGTGTCTTATCTTCGGCTCTCGCTTGAGCACATCAGATAAGGGTCCCGGGGAGTCCGCGCTCAAGTCATCCCGCGACCCGACCTTTTCGACAATGGAGCTCACCTGCCAAGTTGAGTAAGTTCGAAATACTGCGGATATTCTCAACAATGGAGCTACACGGATGGTGAATGAACGAAATAACGGAATGCAAGAGAAATGTGAGAGTATCGTACCTAAGGGGAAATCATTATGAGAGCCGGTTTCTAGTCACTCGCGATACCTCCGCTAAGGTGTTTGTGAACTGAACTATCGAAAGCGCTTCTGTCAGTGTCAGGTACCTTACGGGTAAGTAGGTATCCGCTTATCCAACCGCTTTCTGGCAGGATGCGCTTTTCTAGTGGGCCCGTCAAGGCTAGCCTGTGTCTTCGAGATGCCATGACCGGCGCCGGCCGGGGCCAAGTGGCTTTTTGATTGCGTATGCCTGTCAACCTCCACTGCTTTGCTCCGTGTCACGTCAACACCACCTGGGCACTGGGGCCTGGGCAGACAGCTTGACAGGGCCGCCTCCCTTGGCTTTAGCCTGCCCGTGGCTTCGTCCGCGCTGACCGGCCGCAGTCTCTAGCCAAGCTTGCTGATAACCGTAGCATTGCCATCATTCAGCGCAACATCGAATCCCGGGGAAATCTTTCCCATCAGGACGCAAGGTCGACAAATATCTACGCGACATCATCGCTAGGCCCACCATGGGCACCACGATGTCAGTCATTAAGGTGCGCTCCATCATCCTTTCTAATCAAGCCTCAATCTCCCTCCGCAATTGTCTCATGATAGATCTTTTGAGCTGACCTCCTGTCGTCATATGTCTAGACCTTGATCGTGCCTGCCATCATCTCGCTCATTCTCTTCCTCGTTTCGACCTACGTCGCCCTCCCGCTCTGGCGCAGATGGCGCAGTCGCTATAGCCAATATCTGCCTCTCGATACCATATCGACCTCGACAGTGTCATTACGACACCGCGTGCAAAATGCGATTGCAAGGATGATGGTCCCGTCAACATGGCGGCGGAATGCTCATGAACGACTCGTCATCGCGACCGACGCTTCCGAAGACGGTTATTCGTCAGAAGATGGAGAGGAGCTTGGGGAGGTTGGTGAAGATACCCGGAGAGCTTTGTCAGAAGATGCTCGGCGAGACAGACATGATAGCACGAGACGTCTGAGTAGGGAGTGAGTAGAGCAATGCTCCCCGCCTCCCCCTTTTTTTTTTGTCGCCTGGTCTCGTTACTGACACATGTGTCTCTATGTCAGCCTGGAAGAAGGCTTTAGAGATGACAGTGACGATGAAGATGATGGAGCTGGTAATAGGCGGTAGTCATCAATCTAATACGCACTTCAGCCTCACTTCCGTGTACCGGATGCCTAGCCCCGTTGCCGACCACGAGGAGACTCGGCTGAATGCCTTAGCTTTTCGTCAGACACACATCGTTGCCGCATAGAACCCCGTTCCTCGTTTCTTCCGCCCTGCATGCAACGCGGGATGTGGATGGGCACGCGAACAGGCAAGTCTTCGGCCGAGTTGGCCGATCTAGTCAGGCTGTCACCAAGAGGCTAAGTCTGCGATGTCTTTTTCGGCAATCGCCTGTTCCAGGAAGGTCTCCATGTCAAGCGACCCAGATCTTCGACCTACTTCGTACTTCGTACCCATCCAAGCACCACCAAGTTCTGGTTCCGCATTGCTAAGTAGGTAGTCGGCAAACGTGGGACTCAAGTGGCAATAAGGGGTGGCTAAAACTGCATACATTTCAATGCTGGAATCAACATCAGCTGAACCTTATGCCGCCTGCCAACCTGCCTCACTTTGGTCGACTGTCTCGCTCCATCTCTGCTCTGTTTGGCCTGAGTTGGGGTCAGGCGCGACCACATGTCCGAAACAAGCACCGCTCAGGCGCCCGTGTTTCCGTCCTGCATGTCTCTACACCTTACCTAGCTTGGCCTGTCATGTTTCTCTCTTTCGCTATCGGAGACAGCGGCTCCTCTATCTTTTTTTTTCTTTTGCGTCTCCCTCCCCCTCCATGAACCCCTCTTCCGCATAGCATCTCACTCTTGTTCAATGTGACAAGAGTGGGATGAAATGGTGGAGGTCAGCAGCGCCGAAACGGTTCCTTTCCTGGAGGTCCTGGAGGAGGAGCACGCATTCCTTCTGACAAGCGTCAAGCGTCACACGCTCTCCAACCAATGCTCGATGTTTCCCAGGAAAGGTCAGACCAAGACTAAATGCTGCCAGCGCACATGTCAAGCATAGCCCAGCGAGCCGGCGGCACACCTTGTACTCAAGGTATGGCTCCGTGCACCATGCCTTTTTTCCTCAAGAGAAAGACATGGCTGACCCGGTAGAGGATCCGGAACGGTCCAACGGCGGAGGTCAATGTCGAGCCATCTGCAAGGCACGATTAGCTTTCCTAAAGTCAGTGGCTCTTCCTGTCTGGGTGTTGTACCTCTCTTTTCCCTTCTTTGTCATGTTCCTCACCTTCTTTGTTTATCACTGTTCGACCGCCGTTTGGCTCTAGCAACAAAGGCTTCGGTTAATCCGGACTCGATTTCCTCTAGCAAGTTTTTTTTCTTTCTCGTCGCTGGCTGGGTCTTATAGCGAATTCCATGTCCCGTTCCCCCCCTGGAGACGATGAACATTTTTAAAGCTGTTATGCGGAAGCAGGAGATGGCTTCGAATCCCGCTGCCGACGATACCTGCTGCGCAATATGCTACGAAAAAGTAGGCGAGGTCAAGGAGGAGGGCGACAAGGAGATTTGGCGATATCTCCCCTGCGGCCACCGCTTCGGCGGCGACTGCATACAACACTGGCTCGGCGTCGCCAGCGTCGATGAGCCGCACTGCCCTTGGTGCCGGGTGAGCATGCGGTGCGACTGTGGACATCCCGTGGTGCCGACGACGAAGCCGACGCGCAATTACATGTACTGGGGCTGGATGCCGTGCGAGATATGTCATACGCAACTACAACGTACTCGCAAAACATCCAAATACTTTCGCGGTCAGCTCCTGCCGCGGCTCAACTCTCTCATCCACTCGCTGGATCACAATATGGCGTCCATTCCTCAAGAGGTGCCCAAGGAACAGGAAGAAACACCAACAAAGGAGCCTTGGGAGGACCGCGAAGTGTGGAGGAGGAAGTGGACCGAGCACTTTATCCAAGAAGATCGGAAAGCTTCTGGGTCGAAATCACCAAAGAAATAACACTAGAGGGATCGTTTACGCCTCTTGGTGAGACTGGGGATACATTACTGTCGCAGGAGGTCTAAGCAGAGACATTACGACATTCTTGGGTGTTGAGAAGTTCGGCTTGTCGCCGCCGGCATACACAAGCGATGAACAGATGAAGGATAGGGATGCACGACAGTAGTTTTGAGAGGCCGGTAGACGAAGGCATCACAGCGGATGGTGGGACTGGCATTATGACAACCAAGCCAGGCCTTTACACAGTAGTTTGACGGGAGCATCATGACTTGGGCGAAGCCTCATCAGTCTTATAAGACAGCAGATGGTATAGGTGACGGATTTCATTTGTCCAATACCTGCGAAGAATTCCCAGCTTTTATAACGATCTTGAACACATTTTATTTCTTCATTTCACGGTGAAAGTGAAGATATCGAGGCGGCCTAAAAGCCAGGCAGTCTAGACAGACTGACACTTCTTCACTGTGACGCAAAACAACCAACTAACACTTACCCTCCACACCCGTCGACGTCACTCTGAAAGAGTCAACACACCCACTGACGTCCATACCATCCACCCAGTTCCCCGAGATCTTGAATCAAAGGCAAAAGAGGGGGAAGCGAAGCCGGTCGGGATATTGTCCAAATGGCCAGCCATCAGAGAGAGCGCGGTCTCGCCCTCCTCCCTCCTCCCATCTTTTGCGCAACGCCGTAGACCTCAGGCGATGGCGGGGTAGGCGCGAACTGTGAATGGGGTGAGGTCTCCCAATGTGGGTACGCTAAGCAGGGGTAGATGCCCCGCGCTAAAGACTTCCGTGCCGTTTTTCTGCAGACCATCGTGGCTGGCAGCAGCTTGCAGTGCAGCGTGGCGGCAGGCATGGTAGGTACTCCGTAGGTATGGCAGGCATGCACCACCTTTGCCCGGTGCCTTTTCCTTGCCAGTGGCAGCACCACGCACGACGGCGTGCCACACTGTCACCGCACTGCACCGTCTGCACCACACCTTTGAAAGGCAAGATCGCGTCGTTTCTCTTTCCACTTTACGCGTCTACACCAAAAGAGGCAATCAGCTTCCCCCCCCCCCCCCCCTCCGTGTCTCCCCGCCCTGTAACTACAACCCACACCATTCGCCAGTCAATTGCAGCCGGGGGTTCTCTTTCTGTGTTGTGTTCTCCCTGTACTTATAAGGTTTATCCTGTACGGACAGACGGCCGGCCATCTCTTTGAGAGATCGAGATTTCGAAAATGCGATTCAAGACGGAGCTCAAAAACATCCGTACCTTTTCCAGTGCGTTTGAACCCACAACCCCCATGCCTGCCCGTTTGCCGGCCGTCTAGCCGTCTTTGATGCAACTTTGGGTTCTCTTGTTGACTCTCTCGCCGTTCCCTCCGCTTTACAGAGCTCACCGCTGCTCTCAACTCGCTCGAGAAGATCGCATGGGTTCGCCTAGACGATGAAACGGCACGCTTCACCGTCATTCCCGACACGGGTTCTCAAGTCTGGTCGTAAGATTGCTGCACTCTGGCTCTGGTAGCGTGTTCGGAAGCTACAGTTACTGAACCATGGCCCAGTTCTCTACCCATGGACTTCATCTTTGACAGCTATCATATCCAATCCGCCGAAGAGCACAACACCATCAATCTAGAGCTGCCACTGCAACCCCTCCAACGTGCTCTACGTTCTGCACTTAACAGCACCTCCGCCTCGCTGCGTCTGACCAAGAAGGATGGAATCCCCGTACTATCCATAACCATCACGACCACGACGAACGCCTCCTCGGGTTCAGCTCTCCCGGGCCGCAATGCCGCCTACGCCGGTCTTGAAAATGACCCTTTTGACGAGGACGACCAAGGATTCGCAGCTGAGCATCTAGAGACGTCTCTGCGCCGCGAGCGCGAGAAGATCATCACCCAGGACATCCCCGTGCGGGTGCTGCATCCAGAGACGGTAGAGACAATCATGCAGCCCACGGTGCGCGAGACAGACGTGCACATCACCATGCCGCCTCTGCTCCAGCTCAAGGCCATCTCGGACCGCTTCACCAAGCTCGCCGTCTCGTCCGGCACAAACTCCCGCGTGAGTCCCAAGCTGGAGCTCAGCGCCAACATGTTTGGTAACCTGAAGCTCCGGATCGCCACCGAGGCCGTCGACGTCTCGAGTACGTGGTCCGGGCTCGTCAATCCGGAGCTGGACCCCACGCAGCTGGAGATGCCTGTTGATGAGCATCCGAGTGTCAAGTTCAAGGAGGGCGGCCCGGAGAAGTGGGCGACGGTGAGGGTGGATGGCAAGGACTGGAGCCGGGTGTTGAGTGTAGGGCGGCTCGAGGGGAGAGTCGTTGCTGCTTTTGCGGACGACCATGCTTTGATTCTGTACGTTTACGTGCCGCAGTATGATGATGCTACTGCAGACGACGCCGTACTCACTGTAAGATTATCCTTGCTTGCGACTTCAAGGAAGTGTACTAACGACTGATAGTACTACGTGACATCGTTCAGCGCTTGAGCTGTGTTTGAGATTTTGTACTGTCAATGACGGGATTGGAGTTATTGCAAAATGGCGTTCAGGTTGATGAACAATAGGTATAGTGAGGTAGATGTCGGCATTTAGTTGAGCCTCAACGGCTGGATCAATCCGCAGACCAGGTTGAAGATGAGTCCTGAAATGGGATTCTGTCATCGCAAAGTCACTAGTCAAAACGTCCCTGTCAAATCATAATGCGTTGTAGATACGCATTCGATGACATTGTGACCAGGCACGTATTGATTGTTGGTTCCCGTTCAACGCCAATTTGACAGCGGGTGCTCCTGTGGACTGTGTGTTCAAATTGCGCTTGTTTGCGCATCAAAAGTGACAGGGGTATCATTGTTTTGTCTCCTCGGTCACAGGAATCACTGTAATCTACCGGCCTTCATCGGCGACGCTCATCCGGACTGCGCCGGCGGTCCCTCGACCGCGGCCGCTGACCCTCTCTACTCCTACTCCGCCGACGATGCTCTCTCGGTCCGCGCTCTCGCTCACCCTCAACCTCACGGCTCCGGCTTCTCGCCTTGCGATGGTGCCGCCTCTCCCGTCCCTCGTCACGGTCACGATCGCGCTCTCTCCGCTCCCGACCACCATGCTCCTTCCCTTCGCCGCGGCGATGATGATGATGCCTCTCCTCCCCGCGCTCCCCACCCCGATCCCGACTCCGTCTCCTCTCGCCATCCCTCCTCCTCTCTCTTCGGGGGCTACGACTCCGACTCCGCCTCCGCCTTCTCTCCCTATCCTCATCACGATCTCTCCGCTCCCTCTTCTCACTAACAACAAGCCCACCCTTGGCCCCTTCCTCCTCTAGCGGCTTCACATCACCAGCACCACCAACACCACCGCCGAGACCTCTAGCCCCGCTCACCTCAACCGCATTCGCGCCCGACGAATCCCGTTGCGGCACAGGCAACCCCAGCGCGCGCGCAAGCGCATCCTCCTCGGCCTCCTTGATCTTCCGCAGCTCCTCTTTCCGCTCGCGCTCTTGCCTCTCTTGTTCCGTCTCGCCTTCTATCGCGCCGGCGTCGTCATCGCCTTTCGCGTACCAGTTTAGGTCGCGGCCCTTTTGCCAGCGGCCGACGGGGGCTTTGAGGCTGTGGCCGAGGTAGTTTTCGCGATGGGAGGAGTTGGCGACTTCGTCCCAGCTGAAGTTGACGCCGCCGCGGGAGCCGGATTTGCGGACGCTCGAGAGGAGGTCCATTTTTTAGGGGAGCGGTCTTCGAGTTGATTTGATGTTCTTCTTTGGGTATCGATGCTGTGCTGTTTTTTTTTTTTTTTTTTTTTCTTTTTGCGGTGATATTTTGTGGGATGGGAGTTTGATCTGTGTTGTTGGAATTTGATAATGGTTGTCGTTACGTAGTACGGATAGACTGGGTCATTTCAAACTTCAAGGTCTTGGAGCTTGGAGTTTGGAGGTTGTCGGCAGGCAGGAGCATCACGTGACAGCCCCCGCAAAACACCCCTGTCGATCCAGCCCCTGGAGTCGAACAAGCTCCGGCCGGCCCCACGATACAAAAGTTGGAGAGCTTAGGTTCTCCGGCTCAGAAAGCTCCGCAATCAGGCCCTCCCAACGTCACTCACGCACGCCTACACAGCACAACACGAACTCGTCAACAACCTCAATCGAACACACCACCCTCCAACGAACCGAACGACTTCCCTTATCTCCCCAAGAAATGGCCAACCCAAACGACCCGCCCCTGGACGAGATCCAATGGCGTGCCCCCGACATCGCGGCCTCGATGCAGGGCATCCACTCCAACAGTGTGCTCTTCTACTTTGCCGAGTCGCCCTTCTTTGACCGCCAGTCCAACAACGCCGTCATCACGAACCAGGCCATGTTCAACCCGGCTCTCCTCAAGAACCTCGCCACGCGCGAGGCGTTCGAGAGCGAGCTCGACAAGATGGCTGGCCTCGAGTTCAGGGTCCTGCACGCCCCCGCCGACATGGTCATGGGCACGGGCGTGTGGACGATTGTCAAGCAGACGAGGCAGAAGAACCTCGACCGCGGGCGCATGGAGACTAAGCCCCTGGCGTACTACTTTGTCGTCGGGGAGAATATCTATCAGGCGCCGACGTTGGGCGATCTTCTCAGCTCGAGGATTGTAGGTTTCTCCTTCCCTCTCACGAAAGAGATGGCACTATATTTTTTGAGAAAGACGATGGAGCCTAACTATAACAACAGGAATCAATTGCCGAATCAATGAAAAAAGTTCTCCCCGCTGCCGACAGCGTACGTAAATGGACGCCATCCCTAGGCCACGTCTACACTCAACCGACGCCACCCTCCGCCCTCTCCCGCGCAAAGGACAGAGGAGCGGCAGCGGCAGCAGCAGACATACCCGCCGCCGAAGGGGCAACGAACGGCAGCAAGACCTCGACGGGCGCCAACAAATCAACCAATAACAAAAAGGACTCGACGGCAAACGCGCTCGACAGGTTGGCGGAGGAGTCCTTTGCGATCCACATGCGCCACGGCGGCGACTACTTTGACGAGAACCCCATCACGGGCAGGCCCGGCGACTTCCACTTCGCGAGCACGGGGCGCAAGGACAAGATTGCCCCGCCGCCGCCGCCGTCGCAGTCGCAGTCGTCGTCGTCGCAGCAGGCTTCGCAGGCGCAGCCGAAGCCGGTGATTAATACCAAACTGGCCGAGGAGGCTAAGAAGGAGGGGAAGGAGGGGAAGAGTCCCAAGACGCCCAATGGGCCGAAGCCGAAGAGGAAGAAGAGCAAGATTGCGACGCCGGCTACGACGCCTGGTCCGTCTTCGTGAGGTTGGTGTTGTTGTGGAGGAGGAGGATAAAAAAGAAGACAAGTCGGATTCGGCTCACTCATATATGGCGTTTTGATTTAGTAATGATACCCCTTTTTCATTCAGAAAAGCATGCTTTCTACGGTTCCGAGAGAGAGACAAAAACAACGATGAGACAACCGGTCAAGGAATCGGATTTGGATCCCGAAATAAACAGGAGACTTCACTGTCCAGTCGGGGCCTCTGCAGCCCGATTAACCCTCCGAACATACGGCTCACGTGCTTGTTGTTGAGAAATGAGGATGACCCATCGGCTTTAGAGCCTTGCGGCTTGTCCTGCTCGTATTTTCAAGCGTCCTGCGCAGTGGAATGGGCTTGCCTACGCTTACAATGCCACAATCTAGCATGCCATATAAATAGAAAAGAGGCGACTCAGAACCGTCTCTCGTATTTGCTTTGTTTTATACTATATCAAGGCGAGACTTGAAATCTATGGTCTTCGGCACTCTCCAAAACTCCTGCAAAATGGTATCAACCGTCATTGCTAATCTCCATGTGACCTCTCTTGAACCCCTTTATTCTACTCCTACTCCTCCTCCTCCTCCTCCTCCTCCTCATCACCCTTCACCCACCCACTACTCTCCCTCAACCACGTCTCCCAGCTCTGCAACCTCGGCTCTATTCCCTTCAACATCACAACATCAGCCCTATACCCTTCCTCCTCAAACCACTCCATACTCCTCCCGGCATCCTCAAAAGCCCACCTCACAGCCCGCCCGACAACCCCCCACGTCTTCGGCATCTTCTGCCCAACAACCCTCTCAAACACCTCCTCCGCCTCGTCGAACCCAATCTCATCCCCAGCGAGCCCTAGCGCCCTACCACCCCATCCGCCCTCAGGACCTTCCGTCAGAGCTCGAGCCGCAAAGAGCCCGATATCCCTCGCGCTGACAAGCTGCATCTTCCTCCCACCCGCCGGCATCGTCGCCCATAGCCCGCCCATAACGGACCCCATGACCCCCGCCTCAGCACGGTAATTATCCATGAACCCCACCGGCCTCAGAATCGTCCATTTTGTAGCCGTGCCGCGCGTCTTGTCGCGGAGGTACACCTCGACGCGGTGCTTCGCCGCAAAGTGCGGCACGGGCGTCGGGTTCGTCCACGAGCGCTCGTCGCCTCCGCGGTCGACGCTCGAAAAGACAATGTGTGGGACGTTGTGGGCTATGGCTGCGTCGATGAGGGGTATGGCTTGCGCTTCGTCTCCGGGCGGGACGGTCACGAGGTAGAGGGCGGAAATGTCTGGGTGGGAGGCGAAGATTGGGGTTGGGTTTTCGGGCGTGCCTTGGATGAGGGTTATTGGTGGTGATGATGAGTGGTCTGTGAATAGCTTGAGGAGGGCTTGAGATTTGGGAGAGGATGGAGAGCGGGTGAGGGCGAGGATTTGGGGCGGGTTGGGGGTTGAGGCGAGGGCTGCGATTGTTGCGCTTCCCGTCTGGCCTGTTGCGCCGACGATGAGGATTTTTGGTGTTGTAGATATCATTTTTAGTGATGGTTATTCTTAATTAGGTTTTTTTGCTGAGATTATTACTTTTGATGTAGTGAGCGAAGGAAGTCTTACATATAGCCTGGGGAAAATGTAGATCATGGAGACTTTTCGGATACTTTGACTTGCGTCGTATCGCGTTACCACTAGTCTTTCCATTCTGACACTAGAATATATCCCATGAGTAGATCACCGCCCAAACATCACTCAACAAATATAATATGTTTCGGAGACATTTGTATTTTCTGCCAAGACTACGTAGGAAATTGCGCGTGCTACGTTTCGTGCTTCCAACTTCAATAGTCCCAGCACGCAAACATTACAGCTGTGAGCAATTTCAACATGAACGCCATGAGTTGACTATGAATTGTGAGTGACTATATATACACACTGTGGCAATGCATCGATGGTCTCCCAACAGTGAGATCTATTCACTGATCTCAATCTGCTCGCCAGGCTTCAGTTTAAACTAGCTTCTTCAAAGCCACTTTTCTCTATGGGCAATCTTTTCTCCATCTCTCTCTCTCTCTCTCTTCCTGTGTCTTCCTGAAACCCATCCTCCTTTTGATAATCCAATGTGTAACACGAAGGGACCCAATAAGGATCCATCCTAGTTGATAACGTAGCCGCCATCGACGGATAACGAGGCGCCGTGGATAAATGATGCCTTGGAACTGCAGAGGAATAAGACGGCATCGGCGACTTCTTGCGGCGTTCCTTTCCGCTTCATAGGCGCTACTGCGATGATGGGATCATCTGGCGAGACTTCGCTCGTCATGGGCGTGCTGAGCGTCTCAGTCAGTCCTCGTGATCAGCAACATTCATCCAGTTACTCCCGGACTTACTCAATAATCCCTGGACACACGCAGTTGACGCGGATATTGTACTTTGCATACTACGAGATATTTAGACAGGAAACTCGATAAGTCTTTCTATTGCAGAATGGGAACCCACATCGATAGCATCACTTCTGGTCATGCTGAGAATGGCCGCCTTGGAAGCGTTATAGGCCGCTACCACGATGTCAGCTATTGCACTTCACGCATGGGGAAAAAAAGGGATTCTCGGCTCAGACTCACGTGTCTCTGGTCGGCTGACCAGACTCAGATTGCTCGCGACATTGACAATGACGCCCCGGTTCCCTGGTCTGCCGTCGTGTGTCTTCATGGATTCTTGCTTGATCATGTGCGTGAGCTCCGCCCGCGAGCACAACCATGTACCGCGGTAGTTGATGTTGGTGATTTCGTCAAACTCCGCGGGCGTCAAGAGGTGTGACGGTGCTTTTGGTCCAAACATGCCTTCAAAGTAGCGTCAATAATCTCTCCAATTATTATCTTACATGGTAATGCAACATAGATTTCAGAGGAGATCTGGAAGGGAGTTGTGTCAAGACGGAGAGTTCTCACCTGCACAGTTGACTGCATAGTCGATCCGGCCCCATTCTTCCACGACGTTCTCCATGCACGAAGCAATGTCCTCATCGTTGCGGTTGTCAATCTCCATGACGAAAGTGCGTGTCTCCCCATTGGCCTCCCGGCACATGCGAGCGGTCTCCAGCGCGCCGTCCTCATCTCTGTCGAGAAGGGCGATGCGCTTGCAGCCCTCGCGGGCGAATGAAGTTGCCACCTGACGGCCGATTCCTATTTATTACGTTAATCTAGTTTCCAGATTTCTCTTTAATTCCTTCAAACCATGACTGGATATACGCCGTGTAAGTTTCGAAGAAACCTATGTGACCTTACCTGAAGCAGCGCCGGTGACGACGGCGACGCCTGAGAAGAGTGTCATTTTCATCTCAATTTCTCGGAGAACACTCATGCATTCGTCAATGAGAGCTTCGTTTTCCTTCCAGGTCGACTTCTGCTGTTGCAATATCATCGGAGCCCGGTCCGGAAGGGGGGAAAGGTGGCTTCCTTCAAACAACGACGACCCTATGCTATTATTGATGTAAGGCAGGACAGCGAAACGAGCAAGAGCTCTCTAAACCACGACCCAAGCAGAAGAGTGAATTCTAACCGGAACGGCGATGTAAATAAGAAAAGGTTTGGCGTATGAATCAGCAACAAGCAAAGCTTGTCGTTATCGTCACGATATCAGTAGTTTGTACCCCGCGTCCTGTCTTCATTCAGGCTTCGTTAAAGAAATGAGAAATTTGGTATAATTTCGGCGAGCGAATAGAATCGGCTACACAACGACACTAGAACAAACGGAAAACATCCTTCTCGAAGGAAAAACAGTACAAGTCAAGTCTCTCGCTCGGGCCCGGCCACGGGCGTGCATCTGCAGCTTTACCCGCTTCACAATTTCCTTCGTCCGAAGTTTTCCTTTGGGACACCCGTGTCCGAGAGTGTGCCGTGTATTACTCGAGGCCTCAATCTCAGGTTAGCCCCTCCCCTTCCCCCTCCAACCCTCCAAACCACCGCTCACCCGCAAACGAGCCGATGAAAGCGGAAGACGGAGAAGGGAGGGAGGAGAACGCATGGTCCATACTGACTGAAGAGTGCCCCCCCCCCTTTGTCTCGGAACAAGAAGGTTCAGGATGTGAACCGATTCTACCGCCCAGCTCGCCACGTGTTTGAATCACCGGTTGGTTTTGACTCTTGTTTTGGAAGGTTTGGCATTGGGGCGAGGAGGAGTTTCCGTCCAAAGGTACCGTTCTACCCGATTCGCTCATGTGGAAGCGGCTCTGCCGGTTTGACTGGCAAATAACTGAATCAGAGGGACAAGAGACTGACTCTGGTTGATGGCGTGTTGGATTTCCGACTTACTGAGAGAAGCCGGTCTTTCCCTCGCAGATCAACGATTCGTTGTCGCCTTAAGGTGGAGATGATGTAATAACAGTGAATGTCTTTGTGTCCCATTCTATTCTTTTGAAATATGCTTATACCAACTTTTTAAAATTCCCCCGCGTTTCATTCAACAACCCAACCCTTCCCAGCAACCCTGCGCTGCACGACCTTCTTCATCGGCAACGGCCACCCCTGACCACCAACCCCTTCGGCCCTGAGATACGGCACAACCCACACCTCGCGCGTATTCGCCGTGGACGAAATCTCCTTCACCGGCTTTCCGTAGCTCACGAGCGGCGTACCCTTGGCCAAGCTCGCGAGCTGCCCGCCCGTGACGTCCGTGAGCGCGAGCATCCTCGTCTTGGGCGTCTTGTTCACGTCCGCGCTCTGCGTCGCGCGCTGAAGCTGCGAGTACACGACGAACTCGGGACACTCGGCCGGGCTGAGGTGGGCAAGCGGCGACGTCGGGTGGATGTAGATGTACTTTTCGGCGCCGTGGCCAACGCCGAGCGGCGAGAGCGGGATGTAGGGCACGTCGATGGCGCGGCCGGGCTTGCGCGTCACCTCGGGCGGCACGGGGGCCTTGTCGGCGCGAAGGGCGACGTGATCGATGAAGCCGGCGGCCACCATCTGCTTGAGGTAGGCGACCTGCTTGTCCGAGGGGGCGTCGAGCCGGTCCTGGTATTTGAGGTTCTTGAAGGCGGGGATGTTGGCGCGGAGGAGCTCAGTGATTTGCTGGCGCAGCTGCGTCACCTCCTTCATGACCTTGTGCCGGACAAAATGGTCCTCGCACCACTTCTCCGTCGGGTCGTGGGCGTACTCGCCGACAACCTGGAGGAGTTTGATGGCGTCGGACCTGTCGTCCAGGTAGCAGAAGTTCTTGTGCGCGGCGTTGAAGAGGCGTCTGATGTTGGCCTGGCGGTCCTCGGCAATGATGTCGGCGGTGCGGCGGAACTCGGACTCATCGCGCGCGGCGAGGGAGGGGATCGCCTGGTGTTCCGGGACAAAGACCTCGGCGGCCGAGAGCGCCGCCACCATCATGATGGTGTACGGCAGGCAGTCGTGCTGGTGACCGACGAGGAGGATGCGGGCGAAGCGGGGCGAGAGCGGGAAGATGGACATTGTCGATCCGATTTTCGTGATTTGGCCTTCCGGTGCGATGGCCGAGAGGTAGGTGAGCAGCTTCTCGGCCTGGCGGAGACCCATGCGGTTCGGCGGCGTCGGGAAGGGGAAGTTGACGACGTTGGAGAGGTTCATTGACTTGAGCTGGAGCACGACGCCGTCGACGGGCATCCGCAAGATTTCGGGGTCTGTGAACTCGGGCAGGTCTCTCTCGTAGACGGCCGAGGAGTAGAGTCTGTAGCAATGGCCGGGTCCCGTACGACCAGCACGACCAGCACGCTGGCTGGCACTGGCCTTGCTGATCCAGCCGATTTCGTAGGTTTGTACTCCGCTGAAGCGATCGTATTGTCGTTCTTTGGAGCGGCCACAGTCAAAGACGTAACGGATGCCCGGAATCGTCAAACTGGTTTCCGCAACGTTGGTTGCCAGGATAACTTGGCGATGATTTTCGGGAGGATCCTCAAATACTCTCATCTGTTCTTTGGTCGGCAAGAGAGAGTAAAGAGGTAAGACTTGCATCTTCATAGGCCCCGTCTCTCCCTCCTCTCCTTCAATCTCAAACTCCTTGTCGTCCTCGTGCTCCATGTCTTCGTCCTCGTCGAGGCCGTCGTCAATGTCGGCAGCGATGGTATCTTCAACCTCACCAAAGTCGACATCTTCGACCTCCATAGGCGCGTCGGTGGCCGAGATCTGGACCTTGGGCGCGCTGGCTTCTGTGAAACCACCAAATGCTTCCCTCAGCCGCTTGCTCAGGTACCTGATCTCGTTTTGACCAGTAAGGAACACCAAGAAGCCTCCGGGCGGCAGCTTCCTGTGACCACGCATAATCTTGTTGAAGGCCTCCTCGACGAAGTCGGACTGCGTGCGCCTCGCGAAATGAATCGTGACGGGATGCTGTCGGCCTTCGACCTCGACAACAGGGGGCGGGGTGGGGAATAGTGTGGTATTGTTGGTCATGTCTTCGACTCTCAGGGTCGCGGACATGATGATGATCTTGAGCGGTTTGATCGATGGATCGACCTTGTCATCACCCTTGCGGATGTTGTTGATACGACTCAGCATTCCAATGAGGATATCTGTGTTGACACTTCTTTCGTGGGCCTCATCGATGATGATTGCCGAGTACTTCTTTAGAGAAAAGTCTTGCGCCATCTCTCGCAGCAACACACCATCCGTCATAAACTTGACGGCCGTCTTAGCCGAAGCTGTACCCTCGAATCGAATCTGGTATCCGACTCTGTCCGAGTGGTCACCCAATTCTTGGGCAACACGTTTTGACATGCTCACGGCAGCAACTCGTCGAGGCTGCGTGACACCAATCATGCCCGGAGTAGCAGAGCCAGGAGAACCATAACCAGCCTCATACAAGAACTGCGGCACCTGGGTCGTCTTACCAGAACCTGTAGAACCGCACACGACGACGATGTCGTTGTTGTGAATCATCTCCATGATTTTCTGTTCCTCGGCAACAACCGGGAGCTTCATGCGGACTTCCTGGATCTCCGGCGTTCTCGTCACAGTGACAGCATATGCTTTGCGTGCAAGGTTTGTCGTCGGCTGTAGTTCCTGGGGCAGTGGTTCCTGCTCAAGCGGGCGTGGCTCAAAATTCTCTGGTCTAGGAATTTCCAGTGCTGTAGAGGCCTCTGTTGTTGATTCGAAACCAAGGGCTTCGTTTCTTTGCGCAAGAGCCCAGGCCTTGAATGCAGATTGCCTTGTGCTAATAGAATCCCCTTCGTCGTCCTCACTATCATCTTCGTCCTCGTCGTCTTCTTCTGACTCTTCGGAACCTTCGCTTGATTCTCCAGACTCCTCTGCGGAAACGTCCTCCTCATCGCTTGATTTCTCCTCTGGGTCATCGCTGAAGCCACTCCAGTCGTCCTCGGCATCCTTCGCCTTCTCCGGCTCGGCAATGGAGAATTTAGACGTAACACCGCCTCTCTTTTGACGCTTCTGAAGCACTGGTCGTCCCGACTCATCGATGTCCAGCGGGCGCTTAAGACCAGATCCCACAGATGCGGCGGGTTGCGATTCCGGCTTCAATGCAGGGGCTGGTGCTGGTGCTGGCGCTGCTGCTTGCGGAGGAACTACTGGTGTTGACTTTGATTTCGCTTCTGGTACTGGCGCAGATGCTTTGACTGCGGCCTTGGGAGCTTGCGGCTTGGGCGCCTTTGGAGCCTCGTCTTCGCTATCATCGGAATCCGCCTCGGGTGCCTCTTCCCTCTCTTCATAAAGCAGCTCCTCCGCATCCGCGTCGACGTTCAATCCGGCGTTCTTCTCCCGCAATGCCCTAGTCAAAGCCTGGCGTTTGGACTCCTTACCCTGACCGAGAGTTTTCGTACTCGAGAACAGGCTCGTATCAACCTTTTGCTGCGCGAGCTTGGCGAGGATTTCGCGATTCTCATCTTTACGAAGCTTGTTGGTGATGTACTTTTCCAAACGCTTGGCCTTCTTGCCGCTGGCCTTGGCGCCGTCTCCTTGTAATTCGGCCTTGAGCTGCGCTCTCTTATCCTGTAGACGCTTATGCTCCTCCGGGAGAATCTCATCCGCATTCGAGTCCGGAATAGTGCCGTTCTCCTTGGCCCTCTCACGGGCGAGCACCTTGTGCTTTCGTTGTCTGGGGACGAATTTGCCCATCTTAAATGATGACAACTTCTGGTTGTCTTCAATGGAGATTCTTTGTGGTGTGTGGTGTTGTTCTGAACTGGAGCAGAAAACCGATGTTGCTTCTTTGGCTTCTCTCACCTCACAAGACAAAGCTAGGCGGATGAGACTGACTTTCGTTGCTGACCCAGGTGAGATTAGATCAAGCCACCAAAGTCCAGAAAACGGATCAAATTTTGGGATAATGCGTCATAAAACAATTGTTAATGCCTCCAAGAAATTGGCATTTTCATAAGGGTATCAAGATTAGGAGATGCACATGAAGTAAATCTCACGATTCTCTCACTCCACGCTGAAGATCACTGAATTGCGCTGCCAAATTCTGGAAATTTTTGGATGGAAAAGGTTCTGCCGTGCTGACCGCCAGCTCTTCGGCTACTTTGGGCTTAGTGCGGGGCGATCTCCACCTCAATCCCTGTTGCCCGCTGCTGTGGATTCGACAGGTCCCTCACTGCACTCCGAAATGGCCCTGCGAGTCCAACTTAAGACTTCAACAAACGATCTACATTACACATACACACACGATCAAGTTATAAAACCACTTCCCAAACCTTCAGAAGCTTGAGTCTTAAACACTATATCCAACCCAAAACGACCCCTAAAACAGCCAACACGATGGAACCTCAAGGAATCAGAGAAGAGGCCTTCCCCGCCCGGAACAGGCAGGAAACGGGAACAGTGAATGGCGTCCCTACCGAAGTCACTTCAGTCTCCTTTTCCGACAAGTTTGTATTGACAATTTCACAAGACGGCAAGCTCTCACAATGGGTAGGTCTTCAATGTCTTTTAGGAATTGACCATACTGAACTACTCGTCAGATCCAAGTACCTCTGCAAGCTTCATCAGGCGGCATGGTCGACCTCAGCCTGCCTTCAAGTAGCCGGGGCCTGCTCCCTTCAGTGCACCTCACACCCAAAACTCTTCTCGGCGGTGGAGGTGATGAGAGGGAAACTCTAGGACAGCTCTACGCCGCACAGATTGCTAGTCTCATGTCCACGAGAGATCCCGAGGATCGCAGAACGCTCGTGCTTGGATTAGGGCTCACCAAGGTCGACACTGAGCGGGAAGCCTTCTTCGATACAGTTGAGTTGGTTCAGAAGGTTCTGTGAGATATCCTCCAAAGAATGTGGGAAATCTCGTACAAGAAAGCTGCGGTGATGGTGACCGCTTCTGCGACTAGTCTGTTGAACAGAGTCTACGTTGGCTGGGACGCACGCTGATGGAAGTCGAATGCCCTTCGGCGGGATCAAACCTAGATATCAGTCCTGATATGCCATGGAGGCAGCGCGTGGGGAACTAGTAGCCCTTGGATTCGGGTATCAGCCTATTGAGCGGACTGGCATAAAACATGTGGACTACAAAAACGACACCGCGTATGCTATTGCTACCTGGGCATGCCTCAAGGTTGAAAGACGAAGAGGCACCCAGAAACTTCAGGGCACCACCAGCTTCATACGGAGACAATATTACATGTTTGAAGCTCGATCAAACGATATTGCAGGGCACTTCAACACTTGGTCGATTGTGGTAGCCTAGGTAGAAGTCGTTCTCTATGCGTTCAGCTAGTAGGAACTGGTGACTAGATGGACGTCCGCAAAGGCTCCAGGTACATGGCTTATCTCTATCAAATGTAGGAAGCTTTCGACGGAGAGAAATAGAACATGCCATGCACCACAGGCCTTCTCCCTTTATGTCGGTACGTATAGTGTCAGGGTCAACTTGCTTTTTCCGCATCCTCTGTGACAGCCATAACTCGTGGCGGTGAGTCGGGAAACAGTCTGCACAACAAGAGACACGCAGTGCCACAGCCCCAGAGAGCCACCATCCATTGCACCCACGTTCAATCAACCCTGCGTTCTGATAGGCGAGTCCAAAGAGGTCCTCAGTCCTGCCGGGGAGCACGAGCCGTTGGGTTCCGACGGGCTGGGATGCAGAGCAGACAGATGACAGCCACTTTTGGCATCCTGGCGTGACACTTCCTATTCCCCGGAACGGCACAGGCGGGAACGGCTTCCGGCATAGGGACAGGTGCTGTCGGTCAAGAGAAAAAACACCTCAAACTACCACATCCTCATCACCGACAAGAAGAAAAGAAGAGGCAGTAGTGGCGGTCAGGGAACAGGACGGGAGGGTGCAGTGGTCGCGCGGTTGAGTGTATGTGAAGAGAGGCGACTTTGCTCAGAGAATGGTTCCCTAGGAAAGCTTTCCTCTAATAAAACTGGCTTCAACTGCATATAACGCGGGGTGTTGTCTCTAAGAAACTTAGCATGTCCACGTTTACGAGAAGTCACTGAATACAAGCACTTGCATCCACGAGAGCGTTGGTATGCTAAAGAACTTCCGCTGCCTCGGAATCATCGGTTGACACTTTGAGCAGAGCACCGCTTGAGCCTTTGTATCTACGCGATACATAAAGCAGCTGGCTGGGTCATGTCGAGGAAAGACCCCCCCTCTCCTCGACCACCGCCGAACCCACCACCAAGTCCGAGTTGAAGCACGTCGTCTTCACGTTCCGGTCCATGATTGATAAAGGTCAGTGCAATGTCATACAATACCGAGAAGATAAGAATGCTAACATGGTGTGTCTAGATGCACGGTGACTAGATCTCACGTGGAGAGAATAAGGTCTTGGATAGCAAGTAGGTCGTGTTGAACGACACCAGAAAGGTGGAGCGTGATACAGACGTGCTGGATTACCGGATATTCCAACTGTTATAGACATACTTACACAACATCAATCTTCGATCCTATATTTCACAGCCTAGACTTCTCTTTAAGCACCCATGTCCCCTCCCTAACCTCAAACTCCCTTCCCTTCTTCCACCCAAGCCACTCCTCAAGCGCCTTTTCACCACCATCACCAGGCGTAAGCGGAACGCCAACATACCCTCCCCCCTCAACACCAGGCCCTTGCCCCCGTCTCGGATCTCCTCCATCCTCGCCCTCCGCCACAGCTAGACACGGCGTCTCCACCAACGTCACCGCCGGTCTCTGGTCCCCTTCCCTCGCCGCCTCCGTCTCGAGCTCGTAATACTCCAGCACGGGCGTACAACATGCGTCCGTCCCGTCAAACACCTTCTCCCACTCGCTCCTCGTCCGACTCTTGAAGATCTTGGTGAACAACTTCCTCAGCTCCCCCCACCTCTCCCGATCGAATCTCTCCTCTTCCCACCCCTGCCCCGCCAACCCGAGCCCCTTGATGAACGCCGCAAAGAACTGCGGCTCCAGCGCCCCGACCGCAAAGTACTTGCCATCCTTGGTCTCGTACGTGTCATAATAGGGACATCCCCCATCAAGCATATTCCTCCCGCGCCCGTTGTCCCCCAGCGGGTTCTTAAGCGCGAACCGCGGGAACGTGGCGAGGTACGCCGACCCATCCACCATATTAGCCTCCACAACCTGGCCTTTACCACCGTTCCTTTCCCGTGCCAGCAACGCCATCAGAATCCCCTGGAACAGCACCGCACCCCCGCCCGCGAAATCAGCCAAAATATTCCACGGCGGATGCGGCTTCTCCCCCTCCCTCCCGAGCATGCTCAGCGCCCCAGACACGGCGATGTAGTTGATATCATGCCCCGCCATATCTTTATACCGCCCGTCCCTTCGGAACCCCGTCATGCGGCCGTAAATCAGACCCCGGTTCGCCTTCTCCAAGACCTCGGGCCCCAGCCCCAGCTTCTCCAGCACGCCGGGGCGGAACGGGTCGATGAGCACGTCGGCCTTTTCGGCGAGACGTTTGACAAAGGCGACGCCGGCGGGCGATTTTATATCCACGGCGACGGAGGCCTTGTGGCGGGCTAGCATGTCTTCCGTCGGTAAGGGGGTGCGGCTTCCCTCGAGGGCGCGGTCGACGCGGAGGACCGAGGCGCATGCGTCGGAGAGGAGCATGCCTGCGAAGGGACCTGGCGCGAGGCCGGCGAATTCGAGGACTTTGATGCCTTTCAGGGGCGGAGGGCCAACCATTGTTGCTGAGGTGTTTCACTTAGATGATGATGATGGGTGGACGTAAGTGAGAATGAAAATGAAGAGAACTTGAGATGACGACAAGATCTTTATGTACTTGTTTCTATGGTATTAGTATTGTGAGGAATCTTTACAGATACATGTAGGGGAAATAGAAAGTTGCTACAGAAATGTGAAATAAAGACGGATGGTTGTGAGTTGTGACCAAGACGTGGTCCGGTAAACTTAGAGTTGGGGAAGCTCCCAAGAAGCCGAGGCAGTGTCCGCCTGTGGGCGGGTGGTCGGAGTTGCTGAAAACAAGCACCTCCTAGCACCACGGGGACCACGGGACGGGAGGGAGCTACTGTGGGGTCGGTGAGCACCATATTGCCGGTGCATGATGTACTCGGTATGGGGTTCCTGAAGGCGAGGTGAGGTGGTTGCTTGAAATGGCCATGAACAAAGAGCCGACGGGATGGGATGGGATGCAGTTGATGGGATTTCTCCTAGGGAATTCCGTCATTTTCGAGATAACCTAGCACTCTATACGGATAGTGCATGTCCACAAGTAAGGTAATGTAGGTACGGATATAGCACTCTTTATTGAAGTTTATTCTTCCTAACTGGATGATATGTGATACAAGTTATACAGCCCGAAATACCAAGGTCTGGCTTTTGTACGCCCCACTTACAAGATACCGTTCTCGTGCACATTTAAGTTTCGGGAAGAATCAATGTTTTGGCATTGTGAGGGTATCTCCTCCACATTACCTAGGCCACGCCCTTCCAAGTTTGGAGATGACGTTGGAGTTGCCAGCGCTCATGGTACAAAGCAGGGTATTTGTACACTTAGACGAGAAAACGAAGCAATCCCCAGTTCGCATGTTCAAAAAGGTATCTTGCAAATTATTGACTCAATCAAAAACATCATACGAACCATGGTCCATTTCGAAGGAAAAAAAAAAGTCACCAACCACCAAAGCAACACATCATCAAAGATTCATCGAAACCCCAGGATCAACCCCATTCAGCAGCTCCACAGTCTCCTCCCACACCCGCCCCTGCATCTGCTCCCCCTCCTCGCCCTGCATGACCTTGGGGAACCGCACGACGACGCAGTCGCTCATGTACCGCCCGTGGGCCTCCTCGCCGGCGAACGCACTCGCCGTCAGGCACCGCGACCCGACCTCGGCCGACCGCGCCAGCAGCTTCAGCCCGACTTTGACGACAATCGTCAGCGGGAAAGGCACGTTGCGGAACAGCGCCGTCGAGCAGAGGCCCGGATTCAGTGTCGTCACCTGCACCCGCCCCTTTCCGGACGCGTCCGCCGCGATGGCCATCTGCCGCGCCAGGATCACCTGCATCAGCTTCGACGTGTTGTACCGGTCCGTCAGGCTCTTGTTGGTGTTGAGAGCCTTGTAAATGTCCTCCTCGTTGCGTTCGTGGAATTTGGCCTGCCCGGGCACCAATGCGTGTAAGTGGATGACATCTCCGTGAGACCAAACATCGTCGAGGTAGGAACAAGCCAGAAAAACCACCAAAAAAAAAACTCACCATTTGACTCGCGTCCGAAGCGACAATCACAATCTTGGGCGTAACATTATACGTCTTGCCCGTCCTCCTCAGCACCGGCAACAACTTCAACCCCAGCAAGAACGTGCTCAGCACATTCACCGTAATCGTGCTCTCCCACCCTTCGGCATCAACCTGCTTGTTCGTCGCAATGCTCGCGTTCAGCACCGCGAAATCCAGTCTCGGCAGCTTGTCTGCGCGCGCCGCAAACTCCTTTACGCTCTCAAACGACGCCTGGTCCAGCGGCCACACCTCGAGCACGTCGCGCCGGCCCGTCGTGAGCTCAATGTCCGTCTTGGCCGCCTCGCCCTTGTCGGTGCTGCGCACGGCGAGGATTACCTTAGCGGCGTTGAGCCGCACAAAGTGCCGCGCCGCTTCGATGCCCAGGCCGACGTTGGAGCCCGTGACGATGATGGTGCGGCCCGCGCAGTCGTCGGATGGATAAGGGAGCTTCTTGAATTGAGAGCGGACGAAGTCTACGACCTTCATCTTTGCGGCCGTTCTTTCCTGCTGGTCCGTTCTTCGTTGAGAGCCTTGAGTTCTTGGCTGCTGTACCTGGCAGAGGAAGCTCTGCAGCTGTTGTTCCACACGACAACAATTGATATCCGCGTCTTCGGTCGATGACGTTCTGGCAAGTCGATTGTTTGCAATTGAATATATGGAACAATGCACGCGGAGGAATGAACAAAGAAAGGGAGGTAAGGGAGGGCATGGTGAGTTTATCAATACCATCTTCCCCTCTCTCTCTCGTAACTACCGTCTACCGTCTACCTTTCCTCCCCCCTCTCCCGACCTTTCCGTCTAGACCTTGTTCTAGACCTTCTCTTCCAGAGCTCAAGCTTTCCTATTCAATGCTGCGGGGAAGGAGAAGGGAGATGGAGATGAGCACGGAAGCTACCCTGATGCTTCCCGCTACCCGAGAAATGTTTCACCCAGCCTAGCAAGCAGGCATTGACCGACGTGGAACACTAACCTGTGCACTAGCGCGACGTAACATGAGGTGAAAAACCAAACCAAAAAAGAGATGGTCGGTAGTATGTAGCGAGTACTGGGCGAATGCCGTATGCATGCGCATCTCCAAGGCGTATTCGTACCTCCTTCCATCTGCCCATCTCTTATGCCATGGCGGCTGGCGTCTGAAAGTATGAGAGCCGCTTTGACACCCATATCCGGAAGCCGGGCCTGGAGCCACACCAGCTTTCCTTCTACGGGCCAAACGGAGTAGTACCGGAAGATCCCAATCTAGGTGGAGGTTAAGTTTGATTGCATGATTCACCGGGGCCTTGATCACGTTGGAGTAGTCTTGAATCTGAAGCCAACGAACGGCCAGCCAGCCGGATCCTTACGAGGGACGAACGTGCGTCTCGAAAGATCGTCTGAATCTGTACGGATAGAGCATGATCGATAACGCCCCGTAAAGTGTCGCAAACCAAGCACATGCTAAATCAGAACAGCTTGCGACTAAAAAAGAGGCGTATCGCATAGCAACAGGAAAAGCGTAGTGGGAACGTGATCTTTCATTGCTGCCTCTCTCTTGCTATATCCTCTTTGGCCATCTTGAATCAGTCTTCATCACAAGAAACAAATGTATGCCACTCTCATTAAAGGACTACCACCGCAACCGCCGCTGCCCGATTGTCTACCGCCTTCCACGCCTCCAGGGTCTCCGCCGACGATTTTTGGGAAGATTTCACCGCCTGAACGCCGCGCTCTTTCTAGTTTTCGTGCCCCGGAAGCATGGGGCGGCCAGCATCTCAGCAGGCAAAAGTTTGAGTGCTTCTAAGAAGCAGTTGTGTATGTCGTTTGACGTCTTTTACTGGACCTGGCTGACAATCTCACTGGCCTTGCCAAGGGACTCCACCATTTGCTGGCACTCCTTTCTTCTGCGAATGGTGAAATCGCTCTCCTTGAGCAGGTCGTCCAGAGTGTCAGTGCGATACATGTTCTCCAAGAGCTCCTTCTGCATCTCATCCTTGGTGAATCTGCCACAGTGTTAGCTCACAAGGTGCCACAAACAAACTCCAGTGTTTTTACTTACTGAACGAGGGTAAGCATGATGGCCTTGGGGACCATGTCAATCATGGTTCGCCTCACAATGTTGTAGTAGGAAGAGATAAGCAGCTCTGTGTATCGTGGTTAGCGTTTCTCGAGTAAAGTGGGACACGGGAGACATACTGATGACTTCCACCTCAATGTTCTCGCGCTCTGAAAGCGTTCCAGAAGCCTTGAGTGTCGGCGGGGGGGCCTCCATGGCCGCCGCCTTCTTCTTGTTCTTCGCGGCGAAGAAACTGCCAAAGAAGCCTCCGTTCGCATCTTCTGGCACAGCTGGGCTGGACGCTCGAGGGGTACCTCCCGGGAGAGGCTTGCCGGTCTTAGGATCAACCTGAGTGGGCTTGGAAGGATTGTAGCGCTCATTCACCATAGCCATCGCCCTGTGACCGTTCAAGAAGTCAGGGTGGCCAGTGTTGATGTAGCATGCCTCCATAGCCACGAGATCCTTGACCAGCTTGTTGGTAGGCTCCATGGCCTTCTTGAAGAAGTTGATAACCACTGTGTGAACCTTCTCCTTGAGTGAAGGGTATCTGCGGTAGAGCGACTTGCCCAGAAGCTGGGACAGGATACGCACCAGTTCGTCGTAGACGAGGGACACACACTTCAGACTCGGGTCTTCCAAGCGCTTGATCTGCTGCTTCACAATCAACTCGAAGGCAGTGGTGCCGACGAAAAGAGCCGGAGAGGAACCGGACGAATTGTACAGGATTGTACGAATATCAACATCCTTGACCACGTCGAAGGGGTCCACAGCCTTGACACCGTTGGAGTATAGCTCGTGGAACACGAAGCTGATTCTCGCACCACCCGACAATTCCGTGCTGGAAAGCTCTGTGTTGTTGCCGTCCAAGACCGTCCGCCACTCGTTTGTGAACTCGGTGATGATGTTGAGAACAATGTTGGCGCTGTTGCCCAGCATGCTAGGTCCCAAGCTGTCCAGCTCGGTAGCATACTTTTGCAGTGAGCTCGAGATGCGAGCCTTGATGTCGGGCAGCGTCTGCTTGATGTGCATCATCAGAATAAGGTTAAGCTTCCTAGCCAAGTAGGGAGTTCCGCAGTAGGAGCTCTTGTTCCTGTAAGCCTTATGATTATCGAAGAAGTTCTTCTCATTCTCCAGGGCTGCCATAATCGGCTTTTTGTTATCGATGTCTCGCTGGCCACGGTTGACCACAGGGACGTATCCCAACCGCAAAGGAATGATGCGCCCAGCCAGAATATCAACAACATCTGTACCCTCGTCCATAAGGTCCACCTTGGTGAGAACACCAATCGTTCGCTGACCCTCGGGGTCGACCTCGCGGGCAAGCTTGAGACCGTCGGAGTTGGCAAGATCGATATTGGCAGCTGTGACGGCAAGAATGATGGCATTAGACTTGGAGATGTACTTGAGAATCATATCGCGAATCTGGCGCTCGATATCGCGGGGCTGGTCTCCGACTGGCACTCTGGTCAGACCCGGCAAATCGACCAGGGTCAAAGTCAGAACGTTTGGGGAGTAGACTCTCAAGTTGATGGGAGCGGGCGAAATGCCTGCATTGCGGCCGACCTTGGCCTCCGTTTCTCTGCTAATCTCATCGCGAATCTTGTTGAAGTCGTAGAACTTTTGGCCAGGGATATGGAGGAACTCGCCCCATTCGTCGGCATTTGCTGCCTTGTCGGTGCTGTTTTCCACCTCCTCGATGCCGTTCTGTGAAGTCGCGGGACGGTTGATGAGCTGCAGGACGAGGGGTCGACGGGTGCAAATTCCAGAACCTCGGGGCAAGCTGCACGGGTTGAAGTTGTTAGATGCCTCAAGGGTTGGAAGACATGTGATGGTGGGGCCAGGTGTTGGTTGTCAAACTCACAAGTCTCTTCCTACGATATTCTCCAAGACGGAACTCTTACCGCTAGACTGACTACCAACGACGACGATTTGAGGGAGATCGATAGGGTTGGTGACGCCAACCGTTGTGAAGACATCCTGGAGCTTGTTCACGAGGCTGAGGGGCAGCGCATAGTTAGCTTCCGAAGTGCGTCGAGGGGTCGAGGGGTTGTTGGGCATCACCTACGTGATCAAGGCGGGATCCGAGATACCACCTTGGCTGGAAGCGGGGGGCGCGCTCATTGTTGCGATGCGGTCTGGGAGTTTTGGGAGATGTAGTGGTCGTGGGTTTGGGCAGAGCAGAGGGTCGAGTCGAGGACAGACTTCTTTGTCGAGAGTAGTGTCGCAGATGGCTCCTGAATCGCAATACGTGGAAGCTCCCGGAAAGGGGGGTTGGGGTTCGAGACGGAGGCGAGGAAGATGGCCGGAGCGCAGATCGAATCGAGGGCAGTTGTAGGATCGCCTTCGTGTCGGCGTCGACGGGTATGTATATCAGCAAAGATGTGAGGTATCGTGCAAGTTGCAAGTTGCAAGTTTGCAGGTGTTTTGGTTGAGGGATGGTGGGAGCGGACGTCGCAAGCACCGAGCCCAGATCACAGATGTCAAGAGCCTACCTGTACTTGGTACACACGTTGCTGCTGCCCCCCGAGACTGAGTGTGCCTGGGATCCCTGACGCACCAGCCACATGCGTCCGGTCCCCACCGGTGTCGTAGCCCCCTGTCACTCTGCCGACAACGACAGCAGCAGCAGCGAGACAGTACTTGGCGGGGCGTTGGGCTGGCAGGCGACCTCCCACTTCTCCCACTTGGGCGCAGGAGTCACACGTGACGAGTTTGCATACACCGGCACAGCTCCTGACACACCTTGATCGTGTAGGGAGCACACCGAGGGTACACCGTACACCGTCCTTCTCACACCTTTAGACATCATTTTGGAACAAGAAATGGGTGCCTAAGCGTACGTCACTTGTGCCGCGCAAGTGCCATACGAGTAGCATCTGAAATGGTTTTGACGCTGACGAGTAGTATGGATCGCAATACGCAAATTCAGAGCTGCTCGGAGTTTAGTCTCTTTTTTCTATTCGTTGTTACTGTCTTCTTTCTATGTTTATTCCTTCCTACCTACCCCTGCCATGTCAGGAAGTTTCCTTAGCCAACTCACCAAACAGTGTGTGCACCTCAGCTTAAGTTTGCCACGAGCGAAAGGCGATGTATTCTTCCACAGTTCAGTCTGACAGACAAAACGACGACTATCTAACAGGTCTTACTCAAGAGCTTTGAAAAACTGCCTGGCAACCGGGGTTAGTAGGGTCGAATCAACCCTCACTCAATCTTCTGCAGCTAGACGCAAGATACTGCAGCAAGTTGCATACCATCTGGACAAGGGTTCGTTGCTTCAACGCCCGGACCGAAACGACGAATGGCGATAAGGAAGCAGTACAGAGCTAGACCGCTATAACAAGGTGTCGATGCGTTTGAGACTTTCTGGCAGCTGCGTTTTAGTGGCCGGCAGTGTGACATGCAACCTCGATCAAGACGGCTGACGGCAGACTGCATGTTCATCCACACTTTTGATATGGGCAATACATTGTGCCGATACACTTTGAAAGATGAATACTTCGTCATGTCGACGGCAGCAACTACTGCCATCTTGGAAAGTCTCGAAAGTGTACTGCTGTCATGTTGCTCGGGTACCACTTACAGGTAACCCAACCTCTGCTCTCTCGGAGATACCCACCGAGCCGACTGATAAGCTTCCCCGTCCTCAGAGCTCTGCCAGTATTCTCCCAGCCGTATGTACGTACCGAGAAGACGTTATAGATCATCTCTTGTAAACTGCACTTCAAGCCCACTGATTCATGAGAGAGAGAGACTAGCTGAGCATGTGACCCTCTTTCCCCTCTTGTGTTCATACTCGGTAAGATCATTCAAGGTAAGGTAAGGTAGATTGGGATCCTTCTTGTGTTCTTGTGTGGTCTAGAGTGGTGTGTTAGTGAACTTCACTGTCCTAGATTGCGTTTAGTGAGTCGGTCCTCCAACCACCCCAGCAAGCAGGTCATCCGTCTCCACCTTTGTGCGCTGAGAAATTGCCGGGTGTCCAATCAAGCGGCATCCCGTCATCTGCTTGCCCGCTTGTCCCAGTGTTTGCCCAGTCAGGGTGCTGCAGCAGTGCGCCGCTGCCGGCCACGGGTCTCTTCTTGGGAGGCTACCCTACGTAACGACCTTCCCCGGCAAGTGAACGCTGCGTCTGCAGAGGTACTGTGCTACCGAACGAACACATGCGCCTACCTTATGGATACCTACCTACCTTACAGAGTGCAGTACTACCCATCACCGGGACTGAGGTAATGGATCCTGGAAGGCAAGGAGACGTCTACCTCCATATGACCTCTGCCATCTAGCAACCCCGAAACCTGCACCCATGAACTCCAAACCTCAAAGCTTCACCTGCCATCTTACACTACTTGACGTCCCACGGCCCACGTTTCTCCCTCCCTCCCTCTCTCTTTCCCTCCTCACGCACCTCCCCTCAGCTCCCAGACCTCGTCCTCCCATCTCACGCACCTCATCTGCTTCGCCCTACCGCACCGTACGCCCACAAGTCCGTCCGTCCGCATCCGCGTCCGCACAACGACCCTCTCTCGAGCTATTCTCTAATTAAACGGCTAGCGACAAAGCACTCGCCACAACATTCCTACCATAACCTAGGCGTCGCCGTCCCTTCCAAGATATCGACCGACGAGAGCAACCGCGGGGCCTTCCCGCGGTAACATAGGCCGACCTGGACCCCAACTACAATCCGGATTCCAACTCCCATCTTATTCCAGCCAACCAACAAGTGCCCACCCCGCCGGACCAGACATCTTCAACCGCAGTTCTAACCCAAGCCCCCGCGGCTTCCCGCCCCTCCTCTTCTGACGATTCTACAACTTCGAACCCCTTCCAACCGAGCGCCGCCCAACTTCCCTCGACTGTCCCCGAAGCGATAGTATCTCCCTCGGCGCCCCGTCAGGTCTTGGGCCGCAGACGAAGAGCTTCCGACGCGGACCGGGGAGACTCTCCTACGACGTCCGCGGCCGCCAGTCGACCCGGCTCACATCGCTCAAAACGCAGAAGAGGAGACTCCAACATGATCTCAGACGGCGATGGAGTTGCCTCAAATGGAACGTCGAGGACGTACTCCAACGGTGCGAGGACGGAAGCGCCGCTGACGGCCTCCGCGACAAACGGTGCTCGTAAAGCCGCTGCCCTGAACGGTTCATCCCGTTCCGACAAGGAAGCTCAAACACCCGTTCCCACGACCTACTATGGACATGATCGCGAGGAGGTCACCCGCATACTCATACAGGCTCTGTCCGACATGGGATATCAGGGCGCTGCCGAGAGTGTGAGCAAAGATAGCGGCTACGAGCTGGAGAGCCCGACGGTCGCCGCCTTTCGGAGTGCAGTCGTGAGCGGCGAGTGGGGCGAGGCCGAAGAACTGCTCTTCGGAGCAGTCATGTCAGAGGACCGAAGCCAACCCGGGAACGGTCTCGTCTTGGCCCCTGGCTCTGACCGAAACGTCATGCGATTTTGGCTGCGGCAACAAAAGTTTCTCGAGTTGTTGGAGCAGCGAGATACCCCACGGGCTCTGATGGTGCTCCGGACCGAGCTGACGCCGCTCTACCAAGATACTCAGAAACTTCATTTTCTCTCTAGTCTTCTCATGTGCCAGTCTACAGAAGACTTGAAGGCTAAAGCCGAGTGGGATGGTGCTCACGGCCAGTCGAGAAAGGTTCTACTGTCGGAACTGTCCAGTGAGTATTTCCAATACCTCTAGTGACATACAGAGTACTTATACATGGGTAGAATGCATTTCGCCCTCGGTCATGCTGCCGGAGAATCGCCTTGCAGTCCTTCTACAGCAGGTGAAGCAGAGTCAAATAGACAGCTGCCTCTGGCACACAACCGCATCATCTCCTTCATTATACTCGGATCACTATTGTGAACGGAGTCACTTCCCTACTGACGTCGCGTTGGAGCTCACAGACTTGACTGGCGAAGTCTGGCAAGTCCTGTTCTCTCACGACGGCCAGCGACTGGCTGCCTGCGGAAGTGGCGAAGCTGTTGTTATCTGGGACTTGCCTTCTTTCTCAGTCTCTCAAATCTTGCAACCGCATGCTCAGGGTGTCGGCGGTTTGTCGTGGAGCCCCGACGACTCCATGATCGTTACGTGCTCACAGGACAAGTATGCTAGACTTTGGGACACCACGGTGCGTAATTCCAGCAGTGCCTCCCTCGGTCCTAGTGCTAATATCCTTTTAGACCGGAGAGTTGGTTTTGAAGCTGGAGCGATTTGAGGAGCCTGCGAGTGGCTGCGTATGGGCAGCAGACAGCAAGACCTTTGTCACCGGATCTCTAGACAAGCAACACGGGTTGCGTACGTGGAGTATCTCTGGCGAGATGATGTGCGAATGGGGCAAGAAGCATAGAGTTCAGGACATCTGTGGTTCTCCGGACGGCCACTGGCTCGTGGCTGTCGACGATGAACAGAAGATTCATGTCTACAATGCCTTCACACGCGAGCTGGAGTACGAAATGGAGGTCAAGTCTCGGCCAACATGCGTGAGTATTAGCGAAGACTCACGTCATTTGCTACTTAACAAAAAGGATGGCGAGTTGCAACTGATAGATTTGGTCGATCGGACATCAGTCCAGAAGTTCCTGGGCCACACCGGAGGCGACTTCATAATTCGGAGCGCCTTTGGCGGCGCAAACGAAAGCTTCGTTGTGAGCGGCAGTGAAGGTACGTGAAGAGCGATCGATTTGATGATGGCAAACACTGACGAACTACATTCAGATGGAAATATCCTCATCTGGCACAAGAATAGCGGTGCTGCAGTGGAGAGGCTTGAAGGGCATCAGCCTCGAACCAACGCCGTTACCTGGAATCCGGCAGACCCTTGCATGTTGGCTTCATGTGGCGACGACGGCAAGGTCAAGATGTGAGTCTGCAACGGAATTCTGGTCTACTATTTGCTAACCCCGCGTAGATGGTCGAACAAGACTCGGAGCACAGCTCTCAGATCATTACATAACGGCGCTTCCCGAAGTTCAAATGGCTGGAGGGATGAAGAGCGTGCCGAGGAATAGGAAACCGCGGTTCGACTGAAGGCGGCGTAGATCAGGCTTGGAATCGGAATGGAGATAAACCCTCTGCATCAACATACTATAGTGACATGGCGCATTCTGGGTTGTGGTATAAGAGTGAGGCGACAGGAGCCGTCCGTGGGTACCACCACGTTTGGGTTGGCTCACTGCAATTAGAACGATCAATGTTGTATTACCATCCCTGAAATCGAGGTTGTCATCGTAGCTGTGCTGGTTTACTGCACAATCCATTGATGTGAGAATCGTTTACTGTCATGAGAGGAAGGCATGCATTTGTAGCGCGCACTGTCAGGCTTGCTTGCGATCTTGGTGCTTCATTTCACCACGAACGCGCGGTATAAGTGACGGAAGGCAACCCCTCGTGTGCATTGCCAAGTCTGGTCTAGATCGAGTGCTCACCTCTTGTATACTTCTGGCAAGAGACCGCGGCAGCGACGTCAACCCGAGAAGGGACAACCTTTAGCAGTATGCCAGTGCTCCCTGCTTGCTTGGGACTCGGCCAGAAAGCACTTGTCTTTTCCCTCTCAGGATCCCCCCATACCACAGACTGACATCATTCCTTAACTTCCATCATCCATCTAACCTTCTAGAGACCAGCCATCGTCTACCACCTTGGCTACTCAGGTCTACCGTTGGACGTCATTCACATCATCAACTATCCTCGTCAGATTACATCATTCACCTTCAGACCAGCATGGATCGACCCAAGAACACGCGGGCATCCGGCAGCGCAGGGCAGCGCAGGCGCGAGAACAATTCAACGGAGACAGTTCATCGGCAACAGCCAGACAAGAAGCCCATCATGGGACAGGTCCGATCGCACAATTGGCTGGCAAAGCAACGAGAGGCCACTACAGAAGCGGTGCTATGCCCATGCGTGGTGTATGCTCGTACCGCCGAGAGACTCGAGCGAGCTGCCTACGGCGAGGACCCCTTGACTCCACCTTCAGGTGGCTGCAGCAGTCCATGTTGGTCGTGTTTTCTGAGCTCTATGAGTAAGGAAGATATCTTGAATAACTTATGAGCATTTTCTGACTGCTGTAGTGTGCAACTGGAGGAGGCCACTCAGCAACCAACGTGGTGACATCCGGAATCGATATGCCATCACGGGTAGCACCGAGGACGACGAGCTTCACGCCTGTGCTCACCCGTTCTGGACTCTCATGGGGAATCACAATGAAGTCCTGGTACGAGAGAAAATATGTAAAAAGTACAATACCTACCCTTTTTCACCAGGACCTCCACCAGTTGAGATTCGTCGCTTCAAGTCGCAGCCCAACCACCCGTATAAGTCGCCCGCGCAAATGCAGATGAAGGAAAAGAGCCTACCGAGAATCGTAGAGTTGCCAGAATCCGGCAGTTCAAAAGAGAGAGCAAAGCCACAAAGCCCGCCGGCAAAGGCTACTCCGGAGGCCAGCTCTCAGCAACTGCCTCCTCCTACCAGCAACAAACACACTCCTGCGAGAACTCCGGACACCCAGCAAAGTCAGAGTCCGATTCTGAGTTCTCAAGATCCTCGCGTCACGGTGGCTGACTTCGCTGAGTCCCATCGGCTCAGTCAAGACCAAAAGAGGCCAGTGGGAAACAAACAATTCCCGCATACCGTTCATAATGATCCTCTTTTTGGAATTGCTGAGGAGGTCCACCCGCATACTGTCCACGAGGACCCCATGGTTCAAGTGGCTCGACGGCTCTCCCCTCATCAGATCAATATAGATCCCAAGACAGCAGCACCGACTCCTAGCCTCCCTCACAGTGTTCACCAGGATCCCACCGTCAATGTAGCTGAAGAGGCAACGGAGCACACGGTACACAATGACTTGAACACCAAGACGACCGCTCCTGTACACGATCATAGGCTCAGCCAGGATATCATGGCGCCAGTCAGTACACAAGCAGTACCCCATAGTGTCCACGACGACCAAACGGTTGGTATGCAGGGCCAGCCAGCTCTGCACGCTCTCAGCGGAGATCCCACGGTGAAAGTTGACGAAGGCGAGCCAAAGCAACACGCAATGCAATCAAGCGCAGCACCCGAGAACCAGAAGCCGAACCCCCACCAATTAGGAGACATTGGCCGTGCTTCGACAGCCCCGGCTCCGTTGCAATCAACGCGCAATTGATGACGTTGATTCGACTACATCTCTGGCGGTGAACAGGAGGTGATGGAGAAAAGGAATCAAACCATTGAATAGCCTTATGATTATAGTCCGTAGCCACGATCCTCAGAGGCGTTTCTCAACAGTCAATATCTAGTATCCCGTATGCTCATTACCACTTTGAAGCTTACGCGATTTAATGAAGAGTGACATGTGTCCAAGTTTCCATATGATCAGGAACGAAGACTAACCTTGCGTCACCGCTCTGTGTGCCAGCCACCCAAGCTCATCTCTCAGGTTGGTAAGCTAGAATCAGGCCTGCCATCATTCATCAGCGCGGTCGACGCTGAGGAATCGTTGGTCGGTCAAGTCTGAGTGTATGTGATTGTTTGTACCGCATCAAGCTCAAGACCGCCTCACCAACCGCTCTTGAGGCATTCCGCAAAGAACTTCATGAGGGGGAACATCTCCTCCCGATCACGGGGCATAGCCACGTCTTTCCTTTTCCACTTGACGAGCCTGACGTCGAGGAACTCTTCCTTTACAGCATCAAAGGCGTCGTCGTTAAGCTGGACGAGACACGCTTTCGTCTTGCACTTGCCCCGCGCGCTGACTGTGGGAACCATGGAGGGCGGTAGGGGGCCTCCGATGGAAAGGACGCCTTTGAGCGTGTTTTCGTCAAAGTGGCTGTCGTTCCTCTTTGGTTTCGATGCAGAAGCGGTAGGAGCAGTGGTGGAGGAACTAGGGGAAAGATCCGTCACGTCGACGACTTTTGGGCCGAGACGGAGCTGCGATGCGATGCCCAAGGCCAAGGACCCGCCTTGGCCAAAGCCGAAGAGGATGATGTCGCTGAGCTCCCAGCCGCAGCGGGCGATGAGGGTGTCGCGGATGAGGTGGTCCACGACTAGGGTGGAGGATTTGGAGAAGCCTGGGTCCGTGGCGAGGGCGTCTGTGGAGGGGTCGAAGGTGATGTCGTCGCCCCAGTGGAAGTGGCCCGGTGCGCCGGCGGCGGAGTTTGCGGAGCCATCATCGTCGGGCAGCATGGATGGAGGTAGCGGGGAAGGACCGCGAAGGGAGATGGAGAGGACGCCCGGGAGGGACATTGCGCGGGCGAAGGAGGCGAAGGGGGCCTCGGAGTCGCCTAGACCGTGGAAGAGGAGGAGGATTGCGGTTGTGGATTCTGGGGGGTTTGGGAAGGCTAGGGTTAGGGGGAGGAGTTTTTGGACTTGAGTGAAGTCTTCTGGGGTTGGGATCCGGGGAGGCATGATTGGGGGACTTTTGATTTTTTGTTTAGGTTGTGGATGTGAGTCTGGAGGTGTTTCTTGGCGTTTAGGTTGAGTGTGAGTGGAAAGTCTGCGGTTCCCGGGGAACGGGTTACACTCAGTGATCGGGCGAGGGCGTAAAAGAGTACACCCTGGTGTTCTGGACTTTTCTTTCGGCCGGGATTTGATAAAGGGCGACGAGAGGGGATAAAGTCCGAGAAGCCGCGTATGTGTGGTGTTTACAAGACGGGCTGGCTTGGTGAGGTGTTGACCATGTGAGGTGAAAAGGAATAGGTGTGTGGGTGGGTTAGGTGGGCAGTCAGTCGGATGAGGTGAAGTTATCTCCAAGTGGGGCGGGACCTTCGGCTCCTCACACTGGGAGTTTGAACTTTGAACTCTCAGTGACACGAGCTTTTCTTGCTCACGTAGTGACGAGTGAGAGTGTTGTGTGAGTGGAGGAGAGGAATGCGGAAATTCATAGGCAGAAAATAACCAATTTTCTCCACTTTTCCCCGACGAAATTCAAGCTTCAAACGCCATGTGTGATAGATTAACAGTCTTCAGCCTCTCGATGCTTACAATCACCGCAGGGCTGATTTAGTCACTTCCCTCCCGTCTCCCCATTCTTGCTTAGCCCACCGTATGTTTCCCGTGAGCATGTAATATGGGGGCCAATAACCTTACAATCTATCCATAATTACTTCCTTCAAGGACATGCAGAACGTGGAAACTGGGGAGAGGTCTAGACAATGATCAGTCTGGTGGATTTGAAGAGACCCAGAGGCTGGCTCCGATTCCCTACTCTCCCTATTACGTCTTAACCTTCGAACACTCAAGCTGCCCATCACACAGACACCAATCTCGTCTCTTCTTCAAGGTTCAGGCTGTCAAAAACATCAGTAAAACTCGTCTCAAGATTGACTTTTTTTTCTTTCTTCTCGCAGGTGGGTGCGGGAGCCGCACTTCAGCACTGCCGTCAGGCGCACAATCTCCCTCAGAGCACTCCGTGCTGGCTGTCCTGCAATCTTCCCGCACAGTTCAGGCGGCGGCAGGTTGCCCTTGGCCGAGTGGTTGCGTGTTCGTCGCAGCAAAGCAAGTTGGCTGACTCGAGGCCTATTTACTGCCCTTCCTCGTGTTATCCTTCCTCTCACACTCTCTCAGCTTCTGTACCTTACTCGTCGTCATCACATCATGAGACGACACCCAAGACGACCCGGTGTGGAGGGGATGGCATTAAGGCTCAGCCTCCGTTCTGGGCAGGGAAGGCCCCGGCACCGGCATCTTTAGACATCTAGAGGGACGACCCACGAGTGTGGTTACGGCTTGTCGGGTCTCCGGGCCCTCTGTAGACTCTCTTTCTCCCCCAGTCTCCCACTCTTTCGAAGAGCGTTCTGCGCTGCAAGGCAATGGAGGACTCGTTCTATGTTTGTACAAGATGGTTGTCCGTAGACCCCAGTACGGAATGATCTCACCCTGAAACGTTCTCCGCGCCCGCCGCCAGCCCTGCTTCTTCGCTCTTCTCTTTGCCTCTCTTTGAAGAAGAGGAGGAGGGGCGGGATTCGTTACACGCTGACGAGAGTTGGACACTTCCGACGGCGCCGCCGAACGTTCGTCCTATAGCATCAATGCTCTTCCATGGATGGAGAGACAACATTGAGATGGCTTGTCAGGTGTAGGTAAGGCAGTGATAGAAGAAAGGCCTCCACTCGAACTATAAGATCGTCAGACATCCCGCCGCTTCGGCTATTCGGATACCCAGCTCTCCCATCAACTCAATCTCTATTGCCTCAGTTCCGATACCTTCACTTTTCTTTTTCTCCACAGCTGTGCTGTCGTTTCCAACAAGCCCGTCTTTCGCTCAAGAAACATTCTAATCTATTATTACCCTCTTTTCTTATAAACTATTCCAAACCCCCTGAACACTGAGACAAAATGAAGTTCTCCGCCGTTTTCACCACTCTCGTCGCCGTTGCCTCGGCTGCCCCCTCCCGGGACATCTCCTCCTCGTCCGGCAGCAAGGTTCAGAAGCGTGCCGCCGTGTTCGCGACGGCCAAGACCTTTGATGATCTGTCCATCAGTGGCAAGAACGCCGGCACCGCAAAGGAGGACGCCCTCCAGAAACTGAGCGGTCTGCCAACGGACCTGTCCACCGTCGACAAGGCGGATCTGGCCTTCCTCAACAACGTCAACAAGATTGCCAACCAGGCCGAACGCGGCGCCTACAATGTGGAAATCGCAAAGACGGCACCCGGCGAGGATGCTCTGGCTCTTCAGGTAAGATATCAAGATCCCCTTCCGCCCCCATTCACTTGCTTGACTACCATTTGATCAAATTACTAACACACATTTCCTCAAACTACAGCGCGCAAAGATCCAGAATAAGGTCCTCAAGCTCACGGCCACCGTCATGGGCCTGCAGGCCCAGCAGGCGCAGGGCAAGAACGTGACGGCCAAGCTGGACGAGGAGACCAAGAAGCTCAACAAGAATATTGCCGACGACGTCGCCAACGCCGGCAAGCCCGCGACCGCCCTCAAGTTCAACGCCTCCACCGACAACCCGGCCGCCACCGAGGTGCCCAAGGATGATGCCCTTGCCACAAAGGCCGGTGATGTGGTTGATCAGTCTATCAAGGCCGCCGGAGGAAACGCCGGCGCCGCTGGGGCGAAGGGCACGGGTAAGAAGGGAACCAAGACGGCGAGCAAGGCTGTCGAGGCTGCCGAGGTTGCCGATGAGGTTGCCGCTGGCGAGGAGGATGAGGAGTGAAGCAGTTCACTTGGCTCACAGAGAGGAGGAGGCCGGTGTTAATTGAACCGGCTAGGCGGGTGGGGTTGGTGTAGGACTCGCTTTGGGCTCTGGTGGCTCGCGAGAGAATTTCTCAATAAATGTTTAAACAACTTTCAACCAATCTTAGCTGCAATACGCGAGCCTGTATCGGAGAGTGACATTGCTTCTATCGTGGAGTTACGCCTGTTGAGACTACCACTGCACATTTACTCAGATTCCAGAGATCAACAATCTGTTGGTTGATTCTGTCCCAAGGCCACAGCTGGGTCAGTCATGGGCATCCTGTCGTTGGTTGTAAAGCTTCGTGCCACAAAACCCAGTTTTCTTCCGAATGCCTCCTCGAAGCACTTTTGGAATGTCAGAACCTTGTTCCCAAGTCAGATCTTGGAACAGGCGGTTTTAAACTCATGGAAATGAGTACATTCACACAACTTCCAAGCTATTGAAGTCCGAAGACGATCTGCATGCTATCTGAGATCAGACGGTAATCATCGGGCATGCCTATTGTTTGGTGGATCAAACGGATGTCACTGGGACAATACCCCACGATGCGTGGTAGACTCGGCGGATCCTTCCGATCACCAGCATGTTCTAGACCACGTTTCCTCAAAAATCAGATTGTTCAGTCTCATTTTGTACACTCAAGATACTTCGTAGCAATTATCAAGCTAGTCACTCGTCGTAGTAGCCAGCAAAGATCTCAGAATGCGTATTCCCGTGCTCTCATCTCAACCCCCCTAGATAGCTCACTTACAGGACCTTACTCCCAAAGTCTACCTTCTACTCCATCGCAGGAAGCCCAATACTCAAATCTGTTAAGTTGCCCCTTCCCAAAATTTCGGCTACTTCTACTTCGTACCGACGGCGAGCCGCGGAGAGGCAGGGAGAAAGCCCACGATGTACTCCCCCTCCCCCTGGCTCTTACACGTTTCATCAACTCTCCAGACGAAAAAGTCCCCACCATCTGCACCGCAAAACCCCCAAACCGTCACATCGTCGCCGCATCTTCCGAACATATCCCTTATACTAACCCAAATTCGGACTGTGTATTGTACTTTGTGACGAGAGGCTGCCAAAATGAGCCTCCCTCCCCCCCTGTTCGTCTCATCCGTACTTGAGCTTCTTTTGGCTTCGATCCCTTTGGGGATGTTGCATGAGACGACAGGCTCCCTCGTCCTCGTCCTCATTCCCCTCCCTTCTTGAGGCTCAAGACTTATAATTCGGGGAACTATCATTCTATTTGCTTACGGCTGGCGCAGCCGAGAAAGGGCAGAGAGTTACCTGCTCCCCACTCCTTGTCAGGACTCTGCATAGATCTCTCTTCATCCCGTCGGCAAATCCTGAGAACCAAAATCCGAATAGTTCGGTCTCCTCGCGTCGAGTTGCTCGCTTGTTTGAGAGTGACCGGCTGAAGTCAGGAGGTGTTCGTTTTGACACATCGTGGGCCACCTTTTTGGAATATAGACTTGACAGTTAAGAGGGGGAAGCTTAATCCGGGCCTCATGCTCCAGTTCTAAGCAAATGTATATAACAGCCACACTCGCTCGTCCAATCTTTCCTAGACCAGCTCCGATTCCATCACCACAATCCAGTCTCTTCTGCTTCTCTCCCGCCGGCCGGACACTCTTTTCACAATTTCATTGTAACATAACTTTATACCACACGCAGCCTCTCATTCCATCAGTTCGCTAGATACCCCAAATCCAATACCAGAAATCCAAAACACCATGAAGTTCACGCTCCAAGCCGCCCTCCTCGCCCTCACCATGGCCATCAGCGCCAGCGCTGCAGCCGTAGAAGACCCCACCTCGGCCGCCGCCCGCCGCGACGTCCTCCTGATGGAACGCCAAGGCGCAAACGCCAACCGTCCCGTCCCCAACGGCGCCTGCTGCGTTGCCAACACGAGCTTGAAGCAGGACGTCTGCAACGTCAACGGTCAGACTGGTCGCTGCGTTCCCGATAGCATCAACAACTGTAAGTTGCCTCTCTCCTTGCGGGGTTTCTCTCTTGAGCATTCCGGTTTGCTAATGACTGGTGACGTGGATAGGCGGCTCGAGTTTGACTTGTATCGAGGACAATAGGTTGGATTGCGACCCGAACACGCTTGAGCGTGGTCGTCCCCTGTGCCGCCGCAGGCAGGGAGCGTAAAGGTTTGATGGTGTTGCTATAAGAGGAATACGAGCGGCCTTTGGCGTTTTTCCTTCCGGTAGCGTGTTATCGTTAACACTGAGGTACCATTGCAATGAAGAGAGTCAAAAGTTTTGCTCAAATCCATGTGCTCGTGATGGGGTGAAATATACAAGAAAGTCGCGATTATGAATGACTCTGCTGTTCAATGTTCATACGCTGTTCTAGATATCTAAAGCAAGTAAGATCATCACGCATCAAATTCACCGCGGCACGCTCTCGTCATCGTCTACCAGTGATCGGCCCCTGATCATCGAGGGGCCCGGCTGCATGTCTATCCATTTACCTTCCGCGTTCCAAATGCCAGCTTTAGTAAAGTCATAGCTCTCACTGCCTTCCATAAATCCAAAACGGAAGTATTCGTTCATGCCGAGATCACTCTGGCGGCTCCAGAGGAAACTCGTTGGAGGGACGGGCCCGTCGTCAAAGTAGGTACGGAAGCGCTCTACATCATTGACCAGAACGCTGATGCCGTCGTACCGCGCTCCATCGGGAGGAGTAGCCCAAGTGAAGTTGATGCTCCACATGGCCTGACCCAGGTCGATGACGGGTGGGAGGATGCTGGGCAAGACTGACCCGTGCTGAGCGTCGCCTTGGAGGGCGGCAGGTGTCTGCAGGAGAGCGTCGAAGCCCCAGCGGGCGATGCCGTTGATGAAAAGACCGACTAATATTCCCTGATAGAGCAGTGAAGGTCTGGTCTGCATACTAGTCCCCGGGAGCAAGAGCAAGGCCAGTATGTAGTGGTGGATGCGTAGACTCAGGTCTGGGAGGACGAGGCATACAATGATACCCCCCACGAAAAGGAGGTACAGTTTGAGGTATTTCAGGAGACGACCTTCATTTCTGAAGTACCAGATTTGCTTGGCGGTGATCACCACCAAGACAATGATGATGATGGCCAATGCCGCTTTTGCTCCCGGCTGCTGGTTCAGATCATGCGCATTCAGACGCTGAATCGGAATGAAGTTGAAGGTGTAGTTGGTAAGGGCCCCGACCCAGCAGCCGCCGAGCCACAAGACCGTCTTTTCCACCTGGGCAGTGAGCCCGTTGAGCGTTCGTCGAATTCCCATCTTGTCAAACATGACCCACGCGCAGAACATGGCAGGGAGGTATTTGCCAATGATGTTCGATACAAGGTCGGCGACCGAGTAGTGATTCGGTGGATCCGAGGCGAGTCCGACATGCCAAAATATGCCAGTAAAGATTGAGAAGAAGAAAAGGGCTGGTGACGATGTGAACACAGAGAGGACCGTGGTGAAAACGACAGACACCGCCAACAAATTCCACCTCAGATCCTTAGCGCGGCATTGAATGCCAGGCTCGAATGTGAATGAGAGTGGGAAGTAGGAGTCGAAGCTAATGCTATCAATTCCATTCTTCTCCGAGCTCAGGTAGTCCTCGTTTCGGCCGACGAGGCGGACGACACCACAGCCTCCATTGTCATTAGATATCACACCGGCATGGATCGCAGCGGCGCAGATGAATGAATCACCTCGGTAAACCGGCGAGCTTGAGTTGTCGGTTTGTCCGCCGATTACAAGCGGCTGGTAGACAATCTCCTGATCTCCGACCGCCCTTGGATTCAGAACCATGTAGCCGGCGCAGTTGGCTGAGCACCGGAAGGCAAAGCCGCTGCCATTGAACGGGCGACAGTCCGCACCATTGAGGCCGCAATTATTTCCCCTCGTCCAGTATGCTGCACCACAACCAATCTGTGACGGTGCTCCCCATCCTTCAACCTCTGTAGCAAATGTCTCGCTCCTCTTGACCAAAGCAAATGTGATGATCCAAATGGCGAAGTAGAGGAAAATGATGCCAACCCGGTGCTTAAATTTTCGGAGGTATCGATCAACCAACACAAGAGGAAACTCTTGAACTTGAGGGAAGATGGGCTTGATCTTGTAATCGTGTGGGTTTGGCGGGCCTTTGGACCATTTCGCGGTGGCCTTTACGATGCGGCGCACCGGGAATGGCACCCATCTCCAGCGCTTCCAGTGTCCTTCGTCCTGCATGAACCGGGGTGTCGATGGGCCGGAGTCGTCATCGACTTCGAGTTCGCGGCGAGGACTGTCCTCAAGCGGCGCATCGGGATGTTCTGTGGCATTTGGCCGGTTCGTAGGCTCGTCAGCCTGTTGTCGCTCCATGATGCTCAAGAGCGGTTCCTGCTCATGTCTTCGGTCATCCATAGTGGAGGAATGAGCGTGGGGGCTAGGCAAGATATGTAAGGTGAGTCGTCGACGATTCGGCGGATCAGACAGGGGCGAGACCTAAGGACCTAAGTGGTTAGGAAACCGAGGGCGGCACGGCAGACTACGCCATGACGATCAGTCAGCAAGAGAAGGCTCGGCATTGGGGTCGGGCGAGAGGTCATACCAGAAAGGCAGTGAACAGTGGTATCAATGCGATGCTATCAAGTGACGAGGTTCTCTCGGTCGTGAAACGAATGTTTCGCTGGCCTCCCATCGAGTTGCTCACGGAGGCGACGCATTGGCTTCGGAAACTTCAGACGAAAGAATGGCAGCCTATGGGTGACAGCGCTGTGGCTGAGAGACAGCTCATGAACCGCATTAGCCAGGTGATCCTGAAGCAGACGATCCCGCGGCACCGAAGAACCTCTGTTCCCTGTCTGACTTGGCCCTGGCAGGTGGAGCATCGGGTGGTCCTTGCGCTTGCCCGGCGTTCCGCGTGGCGATAAAGTGCAACATCAAATAGAGAGTACGTACTATAAGTGCCGCTTTAGTGGACCGAAAAACGGACAGAATCGCAGGCTCCTTCGGAGCTGCGGCGGGCGGGTGTCGGAGGCGTGAGGGCCAAGCGACCCGCTTCTCTAGCCACCGATACCCCACGACGAGAGGTCTCAGCCACATGGCGGGCCGACTCTCTCCCACCGAGCTGGTGGCGTAATCTAGATAGCGCCCTCAACAGCCTGTCGGGAAAGACGGCGAGTCATTTGACAGAAGCGCGATTGATCTCGCGCGTTCATCTGGCTTTAAATGACAAACTGCAACTCTCTCACTTGTTCATGCTTAAAATGACACTCTGGCCCCCACGTGTTTAGACTTTTTTCGTCACCGACATCGCCCTTGCAACTTTGACATGTGCTTAGAACCTCGAGGTTGACTTTTTGCAGGCTCACGATATAATTACCGCACTATCCAGAATGGACTTCTTAACTGAGGCATCCTATGCCGTCTATGTGCTTAGGGTCACAGTTGGAGCAATCCCAGCCTCCAGTAACGCAAGTGATGGCGCTAGGGCTTTGTCTGTTACTGATAGCTACATAGACAAACGACCCAGCTGAACCTTGCCTTCCACACTCTTTCATGTTAGACTCAGTTGGATGCAGCAACTTTCCTGGCTTCTATCGCCTTCTTTAGACCCATTTAAACCGTCGGTCAACTTGGCAACCATGCACCTCATTGGCCGTTCCTTTCCGATAGTGGGTGTTATGGATTGGACTGGGCTATCCTGTACCGACATTTCATCGCTTCGCGACGGCTGTCGGTGTGCATGTGCAACCCCTTCTTCCCTACACGTGTACGCTTCGTCGGCGGGGAACTTGTTCTTGTTGAGGAACCTCTAGCCGGTAAGGGACTTGTAGCCAAGCAAGGTACACACATTTGCCTTCGCTTCTGTTGGTGTTGCTTTTTCCGCGTCATTCCTTTGCCTCAACTAGTACTTGAATGGTTGCAAGAGCTTCTGACAACCAACTTTGTCTCGTGACCTCCTTCCTTCCCAGACTCAACACTGCTGTTGCTCTACCACATTTATTAAGGTACCAGAGCTAAATCTGTTCCTCTACAACCGTCAACCTTCTATCTAGATCTCACTGTCTGTGACTCTTCTTTCCATCTATTCTCTTGTCGGCTTCTGCAGAGGTGATTCCTTTTTGTTTCAACCAGTCAACCAGTCTCCCATATACCCCTTATCAAACGACTGATAACATGCCTATTCTCGACATCACCAAGGATATCGCCGCCCTCTTTGAGCAGCAGGCCAAGGCTACCCCAGATGCTGTGGCCCTTGAGGATGAATCACGAACCTTCACCTATGCTGAATTGGACCAAGAGACACAGACTCTCGCCGATCAATTGCGTCGGAACTATGGAGTCGGCAGAGATAGCCTTGTTGGTGTGCTCATGAGCCGAAGCGCCGACTACGTGATCGCTTCTCTGGCAGCTCTTCGCGCCGGCGGTGCTTTCTTGGTACTTGAGCTCGCATACCCCTCTGGGCTCCTGCGCGATGTCATCCAGGACGCAAAGCCCTCAGTGGTTATCACCCAAAGCGCACACGTCAACCACATCAAGGCGGAAGTGCCTATCATTGTCATTGATGAACCCAGTAAAACGACAGTCAACGGACACGCAAATGGCGAGCTTTCTCCATTACCTGCCAGCGATGATCTCGAACGCCTCATGTTCGTCTCATACTCTTCTGGCACCACTGGCCAACCCAAGGGCATCTGCAATCCCCACAGAGCTGCAGTGCTCTCGTATGACCTGAGATTTGGTCTCAGCGACTTGCAACCGGGAGATCGTGTAGCTTGCAATGTGTTCTTCGTTTGGGAGATGCTTCGGCCCCTGCTGCGGGGAGCGACAGTCTTCGCTGTTCCGGATAGTGCAAGTTACGACCCATCAGCTCTTGTCAACTTGCTCGAGTCTCGGCAGATCACAGATACGCTCATGACGCCTACCTTGCTGGCAACCGTCTTGTCTCGTCATCCTGACCTGAGCAAGCGCTTGCCCAAGCTCCGTTCTCTCTGGCTGAATGGTGAGGTGGTCACAACTGACCTCTGCCGCAGGGGCATGAAGGCCCTGCCCGAAACCAGATTCCTCAATGTCTACAGCGCCTGCGAAACCCACGAGGTTGCAGCCGGTGATATCAGCACATTCATTGATTTTGAAGCCCGTGTCTGCCCGGTGGGCCCACCGATGAACCCAGAGAACATCTACATTATGGACGAAGACGGCAACAGAGTTGGCAACAACATCAGCGGAGAGCTCTACGTGGGCGGCGATCTCCTGGCACGGGGTTACCTCAACTTGCCAGAAACAACAACCAAGGTATTCCACCCGGATCCCTTCGTCAACAAGGAAGGTGCACGCATGTACCGCACTGGAGATCTAGCCAGAATCCTTCCCTCCGGCCTCCTGGAGATCACTGGTCGTGCGGGCGGTATGATCAAAACTCGTGGCTACACCGTCCAGCCAGGTGCTGTGGAAAACGCCATTGTGAAGCATTTGGCTGTGAGTGACTGCGCTGTCTCCTCTCACGGGGAAGGCCTTGAAAGACAACTTGTTGCCTACATTGTTCGCGATAGCGATGACAAGCGGGGCCGAGGAGATGTGGTGATTGATGAGTCTGGATACAGCCCTGCAGCCAGACGTGTCCTTGGGGAGCATCTTGCCCTATACATGATTCCAACTTACTGGGTCGAGCTTGAGCAACTCCCTACTCACGGCGTCTCCGGCAAGACTGACTTGAAGGCTTTGCCACCGCCGCCAAGCCCCAAGCTTGCAGTCAATGGCGAAAAGGAGCAAAACACCAAGATCAAGCTCGAGGCCGTTAAGAAGCTGTGGGCCGCTGCACTCAACATGCCCGACAGTGCCATCACCGAGGAGCACGATTTCTTCGACATTGGTGGTCACTCTCTTATCCTCGCAGACCTTGCAAACAGATTTGCCAAAGAGTTTGGATTCCCAGTCCCGCTAGCCCCTCTTGCCGGCACGCCGACACTGCAAGGGCATTTGCAAGCAATTTGCGATGCTCGTGACGGCCACACCGCGGCTGTGCAAGCAGACCTCCCAGCCGTGCTTCGTGCCGATTCCATTCTGCCTGAAGATATTCAGTCGAACGGCACTGCCATGCGGCGACTAAATGATGCGGATACTGTGCTCCTGACTGGTGCAACCGGATACCTTGGTGCTTTCCTCCTTAAGTATCTCGTGGAGACCACCTCGGCACATATCATCTGCCTCGTTCGCTTCACTGATCCTACCGATGAGATGCGGGCGGCTGGAATGGCTAGAATCCGAAAGAACCTGATCGATCTTGGCATCTGGGAAGACTCACTACTCGACAGAATGGAGGTCTTGCCCGGAAACTTGTCGCGAGAGAGCCTCGGTCTCGCTTCAGAGGTTTACGATGACATCGTCTCCCGCGTTGAGGTTATCATCCATGCTGCTGCCACTGTCAACCTGGTTTACCCCTATGCTGCTCTGAGAAGCCCAAATGTCGGAGGCACCAGAGAGATCCTACGCCTGGCATCGAAGAGTGGTGCCACCCTTCACCACGTTTCTACAAACGGTGTTCTGACGCCATCCGTTGCGGGTCATTCCGAAGATGCCATGGTTGACATTGATGATGTGCCCGACAAGCTGATTGACGGGTATGGACAGACCAAGTGGGTGGCGGAGAAGCTGGTCTACGAGGCTGCTCGTCGTGGTATGCCGTGTAAGGTCTACCGCCCTGGCACAATCAGTGGTCACAGTAAGACAGGCTCATGTAACGCGTGGGATCTTCTGAACGCCCTGATCGTTGAGTCATTGCACCTAAAGACGGCTCCGTATGTTGACGACTGGTTCGCCGAAATGACGCCTGTCGATTTCGTCAGCGCAGCTATCACGACCCTCGCCAACCACACCGACTCCGAACAATTGGTCTACCACCTTGGTGACCCCAACCCAGTCTCTGCGAATTACATCTTCGACAGCCTGAATGAACTCGGGTTTCCTACCAAGCGTGTGCCCTGGGACGACTGGGTCGAGCTGTGGACTAAGAAGAGAGGTTTCGGCACTGCGGGCGACGTTCCTTTCACCGTTGACATCCTTCGCGGCGGTATGCCTACCGCAGAGACTCTCAAGGCTGTGACCGTCCTCAAGGACGAGGCCACGGCACCCGCTCTGCTCAAGTACAACCTGCCCCGTCCCAAGATCGATACCGATCTGCTCGAGACTTACACTCGGCACTTCTGTGCCAGAGGCTGGCTCTCTCGACCTCCGCGCCGAGCCAACGCTAACGGAGCTACATCTCGCGTCAACAAGGGTCGTCTGGCTGGCAAGGTTGCCGTCATCACTGGTGCTTCTTCTGGCATCGGCGCGGCTGTTGCTGCCGGACTTGCCAAGGAGGGCGCTCACGTCGCCCTCGCAGCAAGGCGCACGGAAGCCCTAGAAGGTGTCAAGGCTAAGCTTGCCGGCACAGGTGGCAAGGTCCTCATCCACAAGACGGATGTGACGAAGAAGGCGGACGTTGAGTCGCTTATGCAGGCGGCAGCCGACAAACTTGGGCCGGTCGATATTCTTGTCAGCTGCGCCGGTGTCATGTACTTCACCATGATGGCAAACAACCAGACTGACGAGTGGGAGCGCACTGTCGATGTCAACTGCAAGGGTCTCTTGCACTGCTTGTCGTCTACGGTCCCTGGCATGCTCGGCCGAGGAAAGGGTCACATTGTCGCCATCTCATCCGACGCGGGCCGCAAGGTCTTCCCCGGCCTAGGTGTGTACTCTGCCAGCAAGTTCTTTGTGGAAGCGACTCTGCAGAGCTTGCGTCTCGAGACGGCCGGCACGGGTCTACGTGTCACCTCCATCCAACCTGGTAACACGGCTACAGAGCTGCTGGGTATCTCTACAGACGCTGAGGCCATCAAGAAGTACGGTGAGCCTACTGGTGCCAAGGTCCTGGACGCTGAGGATGTGGCTGGTTCGATTGTGTACGCTCTGTGTCAACCAGAGCATGTTGCTGTCAACGAGGTGCTCATTGAGCCTAGAGATGAGCCTATTTGATCATTCTGGATCATCCCTTTGGTAGATGTTAGGGCGGACAGCCTGGATAGGCTCGTAATGATATAGACACTAATTACATCTGCGCGATCTCAGTAATATACGAAACTAAGTTCCAGTGCCTCATGTACACTATGTGAATTACTATTGTTGGTCCCTCATATTATTTGAACTGCCGTTGCATAAGGCCCTCGTTGATGGTTCCCACGCTTCGGGCCACATGCTAATCTGCCGATCAGTAGGTACCTTAGTTCCTGCTTCCAACCTTTCCATCTGAAAGTCGTCAATCTTGCATCAGCCACTGTAAACGTACGTCATTCCCCAAGCCCTCATAGCACCCCGATAGCCGTACCGACCGGTGTAGCGGTACCGAATGGTAGCAAAATGTTGAGGCAGAAGGCAAAAGCAGCAACACCGCTATTCCCTGTTAGATCCGCACACATACACACGTTACAGGTACAGCTGGAGATGCTTGGGCCATGGGGTGATCGAATCAAGACATGGGATTTGACGATTGGCTCTAATTGAAATAAATGCATTTGCGCTGCCCAGAAACCCCTGCAGCATCTCCCCCATCGGGACCCCGCTGCAATCAGTTGGCCCAGGGCCGGGGCACCTGCTTCCCGCCAGATCCACCGTCCCACAGGTTCCGAGGGGAACGGAGGGCAAGCCACGGATCAAGCCACAACCAGACTGCACATTGTGGCTTGCACAGTGTTGGCTGCTCTTTTCGTTTTCACACCATATACGCTAGAACGACCCCTAGCCCTCGACATGGTGATACGGTAAAAGTGAGCGAGTGACGACCAGACGACTGCTCTTTGAGACTTTTTTGTTAGAATACCTATCAAACCTCGAGGACCGCTTTGTGAATCCGGCGGTCGACTACAAAGGAACCCTGCGGCACCAGGGTTGACTCACATACCGTTGGAAGGGTAGTCGATGGGCCAAGATGAGTGATGCGAAAACAGTCGACGGGGCAGAAGGCATGATTTTTGAAATTTTGAAAAAGTCCTTAGATGGCACAGCTTCAGCTCGACTCGGAAGACTGAGTGTACCCAAGCGGAAAACCATCGAGACGCCTAATTACTATGCCGTCGCTTCAAGGGGTGTACTTCCTCATGTCACGCCTGATAATTTGAAGAAACATGCGCCCTTCAGTGGAGCGTACATGGCACTCGAAGACTGTAAGTACATAGTCTCATCTTCCTCTCTGGACATGCTCGTCGAAGCGCAAAGCTAACCGTTGACCAAAGTCATCGAGAAGAAGAATCCTTCAGCACTGTCAATACCCTCGCCAGACAAAAAGCCACTCCACACCTTTTCCTGCCTACCAGAGAGCATAGCTACGGTTCTTGCTGCCAGAAGAAGCCCGGCGGTTAAGACCCCCGTGGGAAATGGTGCGAAGTTCGTGGCCATTTTCACCTCGACCGGCTTCAGGAACCTCTCCACCGACGAGTACTGTGCGGCTGTCGAGACGTTGAAGCCTGACATCGCCATCGGTCCCGCTGATCTATTCCACACGAGCACGATGCCGGCCGCAAAGAAGCTCGTTCGCATGGCCGAGCGAACCGAGGAATGGACCGACGTCTTTCTGACGACCAAGAGGCGTGAGCTTCTCAAGGAGTCCGGGGTTTCGGTGTTTGCGCCTGTTCTTGCAGTGCCATACACTGTGCAGTGGGAATACCTTCGCCATCTGGCGGACGAGGTTGTCGACTCGCTTTCGGGACTAGCTCTCTACGATATTGATATCTTGCCCGATATCGAGGACCACCACAAGTCCCTGAATTCTCTTCCCCGCCTATCCTTGCACATTCCTGATACTCCGCAAGCCATTCTCCGACAGATCTCTCTGGGAGTCGACGTTTGCACGATACCATTCATCAACGCCATCTCCGACGCAGGTGTAGCGCTCTCCTTCACTTTCCCACCACCCGGAAGCCAAGACAATGCTATCAAGCCTCTCGGCGACGACATGTGGGCTCCCGAGAACGAGATAGCCGTAGAGCCCCTTTCCCAGGGCTGCAAGTGCTACGCCTGCATGACACACCACAGGGCCTTCCTCCACCACCTCTTGAATGCCAAGGAGATGCTCGGCTGGACGCTGCTGCAAATCCACAACCACCAGGTGATAGCTGACTTCTTCGCCGGCATCAGGGCGACCCTCGCAAAGGGCGCCGCGGAGTTCGAGGAGCAGTCGGAGCGCTTTGTCGCGGCGTACGAGGCAGAGCTCCCGCAGGGCACGGGGACGAGACCGAGGGCGAGGGGCTACCACTTCAAGGGCGAGGCAAATCCTAGCAGGATCAACCCGCCGGCGTGGGTCGACTACGCTGCGGACGGCGAGGACGTCGCGGCTAAGGCGAATGGGGCGGCGGTAGCAGCGGAGGGCACTGAGACGCCGCTTGTGCCGGATTTGGGCTCGCTGGAACTCGAGGAGAAGGGGTTCGCTGAGGTTGCTGGCAAGAACTAGTGATTCGGGACAACGAATGTTGTTCGCCCATGACGAGCCCGATGGATGATCAAGAACCATAGTGGCTATTTTCAAGGATACCGGCAAGATAGAGAGGCCTGGCTAGTTTCGAAGTAACCAATTAAAACGCTTTACACAAGATGGATCTCTTCTACATCAGTTCTCGCCGATCTTCCCTCTGGGGTTCTTTCGAATAAAAAGGCGACAGCAGCTATAACAATTGATGTAGGAGCACATGGTTATGTGAAGTTTAGGGTGGTATACAACACTCCAACGTCAACTTCGTCACAACTACCAACTTATTCGTCTCAACGGGCTGCCCTCCCACGAATCTCGTGCCTGTTAGCTTGATTCTGCTCATGGCTTGGCTCTATGCTCCTGACGAATCAACCACATGAAGAGGAGCTGCATGCAAGCCAGTTGAGGCAGCTCTCGAAGGACCTGCAAACTCTCTCACTATATCAATGTCGGTACTTTGGTGTGAACCAGCGTCGGCAAATATTGACAACATTTCAACACAAAGCAAAACCCTGAAATTGCGTTAAGCGACTTTGGCTTATGTACATCAACCCCGTTCTACTACAACTCATTGCCTCTCAACAGCCTTGGGTTCCCAGGAGCGAATCTTCGGCTTCACTCTGCGCCAGTTGTCAGCATTCTCATTCCAGTTTTGACTGACGGCACTTCCACTCACGTGTTGTATGGCTTGTAGGCTCCCGGAGTAGCCGTGAAGTTGGGAAGTACGTGTGGCACTTCCCACTTGCGCGTCTTGGTCTGGAGAAGGGCGTCCTCGGTGGGCGGCTTGTCCACCATGTATCCCAGCCAAGCGTGCCAGCCAGGCTCGACCTGCGCTGAGTCGTAGTCGTGCACTTTGAAGTCCACCCAGCGCGTACGCACTAGTCGTTGCTTGTTAGCCCCACGGTCTTCATTTCTTCATCGGTGGCGCTATTCGCTTTGGGGGGTTCCATACGGGGAAGTTCGTCGTTGTTCTCGAAGTACTTATTGCCGGCCTTATCTTCGCCTACGAGACGACCATGCTTGGTGTCACCAATGTACTATTTTCGAGCGTTAGAGGGGCAATTGCGATCGGGGGTTTCGGGAGGCTATGTACCAGCAATTGGCGGAAGTAGTTCTGGAAGTGGATGTTAGCGGTGGCAGTGACAGCGACTGACCTAGCAACTACATACCTTGATTCCAACCTTGCGCAGGTTGGCGATTGTTCTTCCGGGGGTCGACATGGTGGCGGCTGGTCCAATTGACCTCAAGAAGCTATGCTGTCGACGATGTGATTGAAGACCTGACGTTTGGGAAGGTTGAGCGACGCTGGTGACAGGGTGGAGCCCAAGATTACATAAGCTCGAAGGCAATTGGTCTTTGGGCTCCCTGGTGCTCGCGGCAACCCCCGCCGCCAATGACAGAGCTTCATGCACGCACCCTTGTCCCCTAGAACTTTGGAACCTCGAAAGCTCTCCGTCTTTGGATGAACTTTTCTTGAAAGGGTACCTTTTCGACATCCAGAAGTCTTGGTAGTATACCAAACGACGAATACGACATGATTGTCCGTGGCGTATCACGGTGCTCTACCAAGCTCAAGCTTCCATTTGCCCGAACGAACATTACACGCGCTCAACCGCAATGCCGACAATTCGCGACGCCTGCCGCCGGTACCCCAACGGCTTCAAGCTCCGGTAGCGCAGCCGGTATGCTTGCGCCGTTCGCGAACGAACTCGACAAGATAGCACCTTCTTTTAGCATCAATGGGTCCCAGATTCAGATCATCAGGACACCGGCCGATTTCTACGAGACGTTGAAGGTGTGCATTACGAATACGTGCAGCGCAGGCCGAGGATATGGGGACTAACACCGGGTGTAGGAGCGGATACGGAATGCGAAGAAGAGGATCTTCCTGTCCACGTTGTATATCGGAAAGACAGAGAAGGAGCTGGTCAGTTTTGACACCATACGTAGAGACCGGGAAAGGCGCTGACGGTAGTCATGTCTAGATTGCGACCCTGCACGAAGCTCTGCGAAACAACCCCGAGCTGAAGCTTAGTATTCTGACGGACGCCCTGCGAGGGACACGAGAGGAGCCGAATCCGTCATGCGCATCCCTCCTCGCACCACTCGTGTCGGAGTTTGGTCCAGACAGAGTGGAAATCCGCATGTACCATACACCAAACCTGACGGGGCTGAGGAAGAAGTACATACCGAAGCGCATCAACGAGGGGTGGGGTCTGCAACATATGAAGCTATACGGCGTCGATGATGAGATCATTCTCTCTGGGTATGCAGCTGCTGCAAGGCTTTTCGAGTTGCAACTGCGACTAACAATCATGCAGGGCAAATCTCTCATCCGACTACTTCACGAACCGACAAGATCGATACCACCTCTTTTCTTCCAAAGAGGTCACCGACTACTTCTGGAACATCCACAATGGCGTGTCGTCTTTCAGCTTTCTCGTTGAGCCTTCGCAAGAACCTGCTGGTTTTGCGCTGACCTGGCCCAATTCCAACCCTGCGCCTTCTCCCCTGACAGAGCCGAAGCAGTTTATCGGCACCACCACGCCTGCCCTCGATGCTCTGATTTCGCCTAGGCAAGCTGCCTCTGCGGACGCGGGCAAAGACACCAAGGTCTACATGCTCTCACAACTCACACAGCTCATGAGTCCCAACACTTCCACTGAGCTTCCCGCCGTCACTCACGTACTGTCGACCCTCGGCAAGCCCGAATACGCCGGCTCGTCATGGACCTTCACCGCAGGTTACTTCAACCCTGCGCCGTCACTGACTAAGCTGCTGCTCTCGACGGCATCACAAAACAATGTCGTCATCACCGCCTCCCAGCAAGCAAACGGTTTTTACCAATCCCCAGGCGTGTCTGGACTTTTGCCTGGCGCCTACACCCTCCTCGCGCGCCGCTTCGTCCGCGCCGTCCACGAACGCAAGCTCGACGACTCCATCGCTCTCAAGGAGTGGCGCAAGGGAACGATCGGCGAGCCCGGTGGCTGGACATACCATGCCAAAGGACTTTGGATCACGTTGCCTGGAGAACAGAACCCATCAATCAGTATCGTTGGCAGTTCCAACTATACCAAACGCAGCTATACCCACGATCTTGAGGCTGGTGCCATGATCCTCACAAAGGACGAAGACCTTAAGAAACGCCTTGGCGAGGAACAGATGTGGCTCCAAGATCACGCTGAGCGAGTCACCCGTGAGGACTTTTCCAAAAATGAGAGGCGGGTTGGCATCCAGGTGAGGATAGCCATGTGGATTGCCCAGGCCGTGGGCGGCGCCTTGTAAACTTTTGACGGTGTAGGATAGATAGACTTGGAGCTACTTGGACTCTGTTGACGGAAGCCCGCTGCGAGAGAGAGCTTGTGTACGACTTGGATAATAAAGATACCCGTGACTTTGGTTGTCAATTATCACTTACTGTGTTGGATAATCAACTTTTGGCGTGACTACTGAGACGTATCCATGGAACACCGAGAGTGACAATATTGAGAGTCAATGATCGGGAGAGAAACATAGCTGCCTTAAGTTCATGATGGCCAAAAATGAGTCGTTCAGCCATGAATATATGCCAAATGGCAAAAGTTTCCGAAACCGAGAATCGAACTCGGGGCTATGCCTAACCTCTCAAAGAGATGAGAGGGCATCATGTTGGCCACTACACCATATCGGATGCTGTTGACCACCGTGCCATAAGTTGGTACTAAGTATCCAGCAAGCTGGCCGGGTGTGTGAGAGTGGTCCTTACAGTAGTGTCCAGCACCCTGACGCCCGATCTTTCAGGGCCCTGCAGCGCTGTAACACACAAATCTCTGGGCCCAGGCGACCTGACCAGCGATCGAATCGGAAAAACTGGATTTGCAATTATTCCGCAACCCCCAGCGATTGGGCCATTGGATCCGGGCGCGAACGGCGGGTACCACACACCTTGCAGCCCGTCACTCCGGGGGAAGCTTCACATCGTATCCCGAATTGTACGGCCCATCCCAATCGAACTACTCACCAATTCTAACGTCCCGGCGGACAAGCGGCCCACCTCGTCAATCGACTTACCACCATCCTCCGAGACGAACGCATCTTACCGCGACAATGGTCGGCAGAGTCCTCTTCTGGAGCGGCTTCGGTGCGTGATACCTACTCTATCCTTCCCCCATTCATCAGGCGACGACATCTACGGAGCGATCTCCCGTATGCTATGGAGAGGCCAGTTGGATCGGCCCATGGGAAAATACACGAGGCTCTCTCCAAACATTTGGGAGAAAACCAAGATACAGTCACTAACATAGACACCCCCCAAAATACAGGCTTCGCCGTCCGCTTCTGGCAAATGGGCATCGAGCTTCGCCCCTTCTTTAACAAGGAGTCCCTCTGGGTCTACCCGGTCTACATGCTCGGTGGCGGCAGCTTCGGCTACTGGCTCCAGGGCGTCGACGAGAGGCAGTCGGCCATCCTCGGCGAGCGCAAGTCCATCCTGCTCGAGAAGCGCGCGAGGGCGGCGGCGCGCAAGGAGGAGGCGGAGAAGGCTCAGTCATAAGAAGAAACACACGCGAAATTTCGATTGTAGACAACCTACCGACAAAAAAAAAGGAAGAGAGACAAGCAAGCCAAGGGTTGCCGAGATGGAAACAGATTTGTGACGTTGGTCTGAGTATGGAAGAGCAAGGAGGGGGCCCGTTCGATTCGGAAATGGTCGGTTCGAGACCCTCGAAGAATCATGTTTCGTTCTGGAAGAGGAATTGAGATTACACAGGGACCGGATGGGATGCCAATTGGGAAACCCCTATCGAGGAGAAGGCTTCCTGTGTACATATTGCGTAGAGAGGGGGAGAGGCTTAATTGACGCCGTAAAAGTCATCGATATCGACATCAACATCTCCAGGGATATGCTCATCATCAAGCAAGCTCAGCCCGTGCTTCGGAACTGTTTATTCTGCCCAATTGATCTATGGTGCAACCTCAATCGAGCTATCATGGCTGGTATCTATCTAAAGGGGCACACCACAGCAGAACCCCTCGATCCCTCTCAAAACCTTCCTCGTGGCTGCCACAGACATCGCCTGCCCCGTTTCCGCATCCCTGCTCTACAACTCCTCCAGCTTCCGGAGAATAGCAGGCACAGACACAGGTGACGTGATGCCCAGCTCCGTGACGACCACCGAGATGTGACGGTCACGGGTGGTGTCAAAGAGCAGTCTGAAAGCCTCCTCAGTGTTCTGCTCGGGGTCGATCTCGTTATACGTGAGGGAGTCCATGGCGACCCTCTCGGTGAAGTTAATGGTCTCACTTAGAGCCATGACACGAATACCCTGATCGGCCGCCGCAATGGCAATATCGCTCGTGCCGGCCCTGGCGTACATGGCGCCGTTGCTGAACATGGCTTCCGCGCCGACCAATACGCGCGACGTATCGCGGAGGTGGTCACGCATAGCGCTCAAGTCGGGGCTGTACGCCACCTCGACGCCCTGAAGGGTGCGCAGCCGCTTCGCGAGGTCACGGCCGGTGCTCTCAAAGGGGTCGTCAACGACGGTGACGGAAAACCGCTTGCCGTCGGTGTGGGCCTGGCGGAGGGCGCGCTCGACGAGCGGGTGGTGGGCGTAGGTCAAGACGACTTCGCCGTCGACGATGTTGTCGGCGGCGGTCTTTACGATGACGAAGTCCGCGAGGGTGATGCGCTCGCGGATGAAGTTGTCGACGGACTCGCGGAGGAGCTTCTTGGCCTCAAAGTCGGGCAGGTCAATGTCGATCTTGCTGACCTGGAGCTTGAGCCAGCGGACGGCATTGCCCATGGAGAAGCACATGGGTCTACATGCTGAGAGGTACTCGATCTGGGGATTCAGGATGTGTGATGTGAAGTGGCGCGAGAATGTGTTACCCGGGGGTGTCGTGTAAGAATCAATCACCTAGTTCAACGTTAGGGAAATCGCACTTTATAATGAGTCTGGAAAAGAGGTAGTGGTAGGCTTACCTTCTTGAATGCCAACAGAGTCGCCTCTAGTCTCGTCGTACTGTCGGTGATAGCGAACGCACTCATCTGCTGGCCCAAAGCTAGAACTGCCGGATGGACGTCCTTATCGACTTCCGTCATGTGTATCCTTTTGGCCATAGACAGGTGACTGAAGCACTCAGGGACCTTGGGCCTGGTGTCCTTGGGAATCGCGACCGGGACAGCCTTGACCGCAGGACCACCTCTCGCACCACCGGCACCCTGAGGGCCATCTTGTCGGGGTTTTGACTTTCCTCCTTTTGCGTCTCCTCCTCCGCTCTGCTGAGCCCCTCCCTGGCCGGGCGGTGGTGCGGGTTGCGCCTCCTTGGCCTTCGCTCTTCTCGCTGCCTTCTCAGCCTTTGCCTTTGCCTTCAGCTCGGCTCCGGATAGCTTCTTTTCGCCTCCCTCTGCTGCTGGCGCAGCTGCTGCGTCCTTCTTTTGCGCTCCGCCATCTTTCTTGGCAGGTTGCTGAGTCTTCTTGTCCTCGACAGCCTTGGGCGGCTCGGTGTTTGGTGTTTCTGTCGCCATTGCTCCGTCCCTCTTCCCCTATTTTATGTCGCAAATTTTCTTCGGCAGGTTTGGTTCAATTTTCGACCGACAGTAATGTAGAATCGGATCGTTTGGGTTGAATTACGAAGTGTTTGTCAAGGCTCCTTCGGGTTTGCGGTCGGAGTTTCCTTTGATTGAGTCAAAAAGGCTGAGAAGTTTTGGAGGGTTGAGTCACAGGGGTTTGCAAGGCGGGATGCGACGGGTGCCCCGCGCTAAAAGCTCGCTAAAGCTTACCTGCATGGTGCGGGGAATGACATTCTCAGTTGTGGTGCCAATCACTGCCCAACGGTGCTCATGATTGCTGCAGCCATCTTAATGGACAATGGCAAGCTTGTCTCTTTTTTCAGATGGCCAAAGCCTGAGAAAGACATGAATTTGCAGCAAATACTTCTCATTGCTACTTCAAGGTAAAACAATATACAAGCATGGGAGATTAATGGGGTTTAGTTGGACTACATGATTACACTGTGGAGAGATTAAGCACTGCCACTCTTTCTATAAAGTCAGGGAGTATTTTCTAGAGAAAGAGTGTTAAGCAAGTATCACAAGGCTCTACCAGTGCAGCTGATGATTAATTTAAATACCTACCACTTTTACCTAATTTTTATGAATTGCGTAGCAACACAGGATATTGCATACCCTTCTATCCAACTTTTAACTCCCTGGCAGAGACTTACGTTGTCACTCGATCCCAACATCCAGAAGACAAAGAACTTGGCGAAGGTGAATGAGATACAAGTAGGTATCAGGGCCGCTCTATCTAGACGATGCGCCCTTTTCTACTACCTTTCTATTGTACAAGCCTTCCAAAGAGGTTCTAGTGTACAAGTCAACAGCGATTCTGTCCGAATCGTACATGCCGTCCTATGCAGTCTTCGAGCGCAGCTCAACCACCCCGATTCCCAAGTAGTCCAGTCTACATCAGGTCGAGGCTTCCCGCGTAGCGTCTGCAACCGAGGCCTCTGCAACCGGAGCAGCCTTCGCTGCAGGCTTCGCCGTCGACTCCAAGTGCAGCCTCATAACCTTGCGCAGTTGCCCTTCGGCGTCCTTGTACTCTCTGGCACCTGCAACCTCCGCCACGGCATCCCGGACCTGCTGTACGAGCGCGCCGGCCTCCTCCGTCGTAGCGATTCTGCTACCCTTCTTCTTGGCAAAGAGAACCTCGACCTTGTACCCCTTTTCCAGGAACGTCTTCATCTGCTTCATCTTGTGGCCCATATCGTGCGGCGCGATGGCCCAGTTGAACTCCAGCTCCTTGACCCTCGCCAGTCTGCGCGCGTTATCCTTCTTGGTCTTTTGTAGCGCCCTCTCTTTCTCTTTCTCGGCAACCTTGTCGACAATGCGGCAGATTGCAAACGGCGGCTGGCCTGGCGCAGGGCGCGGGGGCGGTCGGGAGACCATCCGGAGGGATTGCGTCTCGGGGTCGAGCGACCTTAGGAACGTTCGGGTGTTGTGCGGGCCGGTGAGCTTGTTGTTCCCGTCGACGACCATGACTTCACGATCAGAGATCGCCCTGTCCTGGGGAAGCTGACCTGGCTTAGCAGCGTCGGATACTGTGTCTGATGTCGATGGCCTCTTCTTCTTGAACCGGGGAATCAGGGCGGCGTGGCGTGCGAAACCTTGGAGCGGCGGTGACAGAATTGTTGGCAGAGCTCTGGAGACTGGGTTCAGAAGAGCGCTTCGTCGCGAAATCGATTCGACCTTTTCAAAAGGCGAGACGAAGACCCTATGTAGGGCCGTCCTGCTGTTGTACAGGCATCGTGTGATCCTCATGTTTGTTCTACGTTTCCGCTCTCTCGTAATAGGCCAGTCGCAAGGTTTCAGGAGTGTCGGCTCGGGCACAGATCTAACAGTCTTGCCGTTGTTGTACGGTTGTCGTTTGGGCTGAATCTGTAATTGCAAGAAGCAGAACTGAGGAGCAGAAGCAGGCGAAAGACACTTGGGGGTCTTCGGTAAGGTAGCTCTCCCACCAATCACGCACCATGATCCAATGCGACGAGCTTTCGATGGTCCAAGCTCCAGCGGAACGCCGGCTCCGCGCGTCTCTCCACCTCCATTTACATCCCGTCTGGACGCCTTGAACTACTCAGGTCCAACATTCGGATATTCAGTACACAACAAATCCGAATCCACAGACGCGGCAGGCCAGCACAATGGCAGGAAGACCTCTCCGTCTGGCCATGAACGTAGGGAAAACCCTGGCCCTAAGTCATGTCATGATGGAATACGGCTTCTTCATGGGCCCGGCGTCGGGACCGTCCATGCTTCCAACATTTCAAGTCGCAGGTGAATCCATTCTAGTCGACCACCGTTACCGGTACGGTCGCAACGTGCTTGTTGGCGACTTGGTTCACTTCAAGATTCCAATTTTCCCAGAGTCCGATGGCATTAAACGCGTGATAGGGATGCCCGGCGATTACGTTATGCTGGGCAGCCCTGATGCAGAGAAACAGAAGATGATTCAGGTAATTACATTCAGTTAATCGCCGGTCCGAAACTCCTTACTTAAAGTATCTATAGGTTCCTCAGGGTCATTGTTGGGTTGTGGGTGATAATCTCGAAGCCTCGAGAGATTCGCGATTGTATGGCCCAGTGCCTTTGGCTCTCATCAGGGGCAAAGCTGTCAACAAGCCATGGTGGTTAGCGCTTCTGGCCCAAGGAGGGACAGCTGAGAATGGGCTTCGCGATGTTCGAAATGAACGGGAGTGAGTGGTGCGCAAGAATTAAAAGTAGCTGTGTCTTGCCACAACACAAGATTCACATAAATACGAGACAAGGAATGCGCGAAAGATGGCGACTGGGGAACTCCGGAAGCAGAACTGATCACAGAATGTGAGTTGTTCTCCCGATCCTCTAAAGTATGATCCTAATTACAACGGGTAGGGGAGCCAATGGCACCAGATAAAAGCTCATCAGACCTGTTAATAGGTCGAGCAGTAATGAGACACGGATGACCCGACAAAACGAGCCATGATGCTTGATACAAAGTAAAAGGTTCGGGTCGTCCTGGTAAGACAAACTAGTCCGCCCCTCTGACGGCATAATCTCGCCAGTTGGTGTAGGCACGAGAAAACAAACGCTCCTTCAAAATGCTTCCACGCCGAAATATACACTCAAACGTAACAACCGAATCTCATTCTGCATGACCAACGCCGAAACACCGCCGATCAGAACCCCCAAGACCCTCGGTCCTGCTGTAGTACCCCGCTAGGGAAGTTGGAGAATAATAAAAATGTTGCGAAATGCCCTGCCGGAGTCATCGTTTAGCCTTCAATGTGAGACTTCGAGCCACTCTGGCCAAGCAGCTCGAGACACCGCTGTGCCAAGTTGACAACTTCGCCTTCGTCGTCGTCTTCGAATTCGTTGTCCGGCTCGATTTGACGGTTGGCGATTTCCTTGATCTGATCGACAATGTCTTGTGCTTGACCAATCAACTGAATGAGGTTTTTGTCCTCAGACTCGAGCAACTGAAGCAAAGTCCAGATTGCTATGTGCTGGAACGTCGCATCGCCGCTCTGAAGGAATCTCGTCAGATATCCGTGGATACCGCCGTTGGGCTCCTTCCAATCCTGGACGAAGACCGCGTAGTCTCCCACTATTGAATTGTTAGATTAAAGACTGAACCTCGCACGATGGAGCTGAACAAACCTTTTGAGGAGAGATTACCAAGAGCTGCAGCGCTGTTGCCCTGGACCTCAATGCTAGGTGAATGAGTGAGAGGAATAAGAACTTCGAAGACGCCGAGGTTGAGAAGGTGAGACTTGAGCTCATCGCTTAGAGCCAAAACTGCAATTGCAGCGGTCATCTCGGACTGAACAGTAACCGGTACGTCGAGTACGAGCTGCTTGCACTTTTGAACTGCGCCGGCATCAAGGACGAGGGCCTTGTTACGATCAGAGCTGGCAGCAAGGTTCCTAAGGGTTGAGATGGCGTGGCACTGGATCTCTTCGTTCTCGGTAGAGCCCAACAAGTCTACGAGAGGCTTCAGGAAGCCGGCTTCAATGATGGGCGACTCATTGAGAGGGTGGATCGAAATGTTTCGTATGCAGGCGACGGCGGAAAGAATTAAAGGAAGGTAGGATGAAGACAGGAGTCGAAGCAGAGGCGCGAGACCGTTTGATCGCACAATGTCGAGTTGGTACTTCTCGTCAGAGGCAAGGTTGCGGAGGGCGAGCGCCGCTTGGCACTGAACCTTGGGTGATGATGAATCCATGAGCGTCACCAACGAAGAGACGAGCTTTGACTCCGTCTGGGCAAGTTTGCGTCGGTTGTTAGCATCGACTGCAATGTTGCTGAGAGCCGTAGTGCAATAGTACTGGACGTCGACGTCAGACGAGGAGAGAAGCTGGACAAGAACCGGAATCGCGCCGGCATTAACGAGTTGCTGGCGGTTCTCGTCTATCGTACCGGTTAGTTCATGGTTCAGATATGGGAGATAAAGACGTCTTGCCTGAATGTGTCATGTTGAGCAAAGCTCCAGTCGCGTTCCTCTGAACCCGCATGTCTCGAGACTTTGCCAGCCTCGTCAGAGGGCCCAAGGCACCAGAGCGAGCAATCTTTGCCTTGTTCTCCTCGTGTGTGGCCAAGTTCGTGATGCACCCAACTGCGTTGCACTGTACCTCAACATTTGGTGACAGCATTTGCCTAATAAGTGGCGTGAGTCCACCAAGCTGGACAATCAGAACCTTGTTTTCGGCTGATAAATCGAATTAGTCTCAACCCTCCAGCCTTGTCTATGACGCCTGACTTACTGTTGACCGCCAGATTTCCTAGCGCTGCGCTTGCGGCGCGCTGAACCTCGATGTCGGGGCTTTGCAAGAGGAAGAGGATGGGTTCGAGGGTGTCACGATCGACCTCGCGGACATCTGGAGCAGCTTGTCAGCAAATCTAGGTGATGTTGATCGGGGTCGTTGAATGCGCTATGTCGCAAAGGGCATCCTCAATGTGATCCCGCAAGCGACTAGAACGCCGGAGGACGTACCTCGCTCTGTGATTTCGGCAAAGGTCAAACTTGCGCTCCGTTGCAAATCGATATTTTCGGAGAAGACGAGTGTGCTTAGAGCTCGAAGGGGTTCGCCTGAGAAGAAGTCGGTTTCACCCCGCTGAAACAACGTCAGTATGGAAGGTCGACGAGATCGTCCACGGCGAATAGAAAACATACGTTTTCGAGATACTGGAGAAGGTCGGCGACAGCTTCTCTTTCGCTATCGGCGAGAACTGGCTCGTAGAGACCATCGCGGGCTCTCCCTACACGGTCATCATTAGCGTGGGTGATGCAGTTAACATGATGACGGAAAGCTAGTACCTCCGCAACATGACTGGCAGGCTCCCATGGCCGAGGTGGGCTACAAAGGCCGATGTTGATGGTATCGAGACTCGTTGTCGAGGTGGTGGTCGAGAAAGTTGGGGCTTGTTTGTTTGGATGGGGCTTCTCTTCGCAACACGAACGTTTTGGCCGCCCGACAACCAGAGGGAAGCGGAGTCTGCGGTGACTCTGGCGACTGGATAGCAGTGTCGATTAGACGATGGAGCCAAAGTGCGAAGCAAATTTGATGCAAGTCGATGGCCAGCGAATTGCGAAGCTCGGTACTGGCGGGTGGGAGAGGCCCGAATGTTAGTCGGTTGATGGGCGATAGAGTCGGTCAAGTGAGGTTTTGGGAAGAAAGCGACGGCTGCTCCAGTTGTCTTTCGCGGAGCATTGACCCAGGATCAGGTTGCAGCAACCCGCAGCAGCAATCGGAGCAGCAGCACTGGGCCTTTCTGAGGTTAGTGGGGACGGGAACGACCAGAGGTACCAAAATCCAAAGGTACCGAAATGCTAGTAGCAGTCACCAAGGAACCAGCACATGGAAGGTACCTCAGCAGAGCTGCCTTGCTCGGAAAGCGTCAGACAGACAGCATGCACAGCACAAAACAGCGGTGCATACCTCGTCGTACCGGGCCAGCAATGCCAGCAGCACCAGCTCCAGCACAGCGAAGCAAATGCCCGTGGAGCCCAGTGGGACTGGTGACCTTGAACCTGCAATCTAACTCGTTTCGGTCTAGAGGCTCTCGAAGAGACCCAGTGCAAGAGGTACGTATCGAGTGTACCTGCAGCGTCGTCCGGCTTTTACTCGTAATGTGAGTGGACGGTTGTTTGTTCCGTGACGAGACGTGAAAAAAAGAGAAGGACCCCACCCGCCGCCTCACTCTTCCAAGTTCGCACCGCCGATGTAGCCAGCACCTCAAGGCTTTGGTTTGCAGGGCCACTTCCCACCCTGTTCCTCCACTGTCCACTGTCCAGTCCTCCCGTCTTCTCCTCCTCCTCCATGTCTCCTCCCTCGGGCGGACCTGCCGCGGGAGACTCCAAGTTTGAAGTCCCCAACCCCAAAGCCTCGAGCTTGATCGGGAAGGGAAGAGCACGGACCATCTTGGTGCCCCTTCCCCTTCTACCACTTTATGCCTTCACATGTGGGAACTAAACTCAACAGGCGCCTTCCAGGAAGGGAGGAGCTTGTGTTGTGCACCCGCCTCATCTTGCATCGAGATTTCTTTCCTTTCATCCAGATGAGCGTCTGCGGTGTGCGGCCGGTCCGGGGTGACAGCATTCCTGGACCTACGCTAGCGATGCTGTGGCTTGAATTTTGACATGACTTTATCTCTCTGCGCCATCGTACCTTAGGCTGATAGGTAGGCAAGCACGGCAAGGTACGGAGTAGATTGACAGGCTTCCATGGGATTCTCCATCGAGGGCTATAATGAAGACCATTTCCAAATTTCACATGGCTGACTATCTACCCACCAAGCCAACCACAAGGTGCACCTGAGCGATCGTGACATTGCTCTTATCTGGGAATGCATGCATCCTGGGGTCGTACTGAAATGTGACGCGGGAAGCTTACGTTGCCTCATGGTACACCACCTCATGACTGCCTCTACCGTCTGCCTAGCCTAGAGTCAAGCTCCAGATGAGAGCGACCCAGATACCTAAGTCTCGACATACACCAAACACTCGTCTTCGATAGGTACCTTACTTGCTGTGTGTGACGTTCCCTCCAACTGGCCTGGCTGACTGGCACTTGGCGATAGGAGCCAAGTTGCCAAGGTCTTTAGAGTCAGAAATCCAGGGTCCAGTCACACACAATTCTTATGATCGCTTTGATGCTATGTCTGGTAGTCGCCAGACACCAGACAGTATCCATCCAACTTGATTGTGAGCTTCTGACCAGCGCCTCCCAAAATGTGATGCTATGGCGATGGAGAACGACAGAAGACGAAAAACACAAAAGTAGTTGTCACACCTACCGTTTTGATAAACTGAGTATCATGGGCGGTGTCAGTCGCGTAGATGGAATGAGGGAAATTTTTGAGAAAATGTCTCGGACGTGCATGTCTCGTCACGCCCCCTCGAAGATTTTGGGCGTGTCTCTGAAGCTTGAGCCGAAGCAAGACAGCCTGTCTCGAGTAAGGCGAGTATCGGACAATTACCTGTGGGCAAGGGGATCATCATTCAGATATCCCGTTAAGAGATAGTTACTTACAGTGTTGAGAAGTACCTCACCATATCTTATCCCATTACCTACTTTTTCATATGGACTGGTTCCCATCAGATTGATTCTCGCCGAGAAGGCTTCAACACCATCATTACCAACGACGAAATGCGTCATCGCACATCGATTTGCCTTCATCACCATACGGAGCTGATGCCGCTGTACACAATGAGCGCAGCGCCAAGTAGGAGCCATAAGCAACTTGTTGAACTGATTGACGACTACACCGGCTACGCTAACATACGCCAGATTCGCTTGGAGTAAAAGTCAGAACGCCAAGGATCAGACGGTGGACGCCCCCGGCTACCTTATTCATCGGGTGGGTTGGCCCAAGTCCAACCCATCAGCTTCGAACTTGCCCTGCCTTATCCTTATCTGCCTTATCTTAACAAGAGGAACCTAACGGATACCCGACACAGTACACTTAGCAACAAAGATACGGCTGGAGTGGGCAAGGTAGCTAGCAACGGTAGGTACCTTTCATCAGAGTTGAGACAAGAGGGACGGGACAGCTGAGATAAATGTTATTTGCTACGGAGTACTGCCGGTGCCACCAGTGCCGTTACCTCAGACCTACGACCTTGCCTCTACTTCGTTGCTTCCTGATGCAGGTTGGGAGGGGAATAGAACGGCGCAAGGGAAAAATCACCAAGGCATTCAGTCCAGCCCAATCCATTCTCCAAACCACGAATTCCATCCCTCCGTTTTCCTTTCCCACCCATTGTCTCTGCCTCCCGTTTTCCCGTCTCCCGCCGTTCCTCCCATACGTCTAGAGGGGCCACGCGCGCCATTAGCCCTCCCACGACGACGCAATGGACGACCCCTCCTCCTCCTCGGCTTCGAAGGACAATGCCGGTCCTGGTTCCATGCCCACGTCGCATCCAAGTCAACAACAGCCTAGCGGTAATGGTCCACTACAACCGCCCGTAGTTGCTACCGCTGCGTCCATCGCGAGACCACATGGTCACGAGCTTCCCTTCGTCACGCCCTCCTCATACCTTCGCCCAAGACCACCCTCGGTTGCTCGCAAAATGCCAGAGAAGCCGCCCAGTCCCCTCGACAAGGACCAGATTCAAGGCCTGGTAAGCTACCTTTGCCCTTGGACCCCTCCCTCGACCATCTCGCGCACCGCCGATTTATGTGCCTGAGCCCGCGTGCGCCCCTAGATGCGAGCGCATGCGGGGTTGTGCTTCTGCCTCGAGGCCGTCGCGAGTGGGCATATTTGTACCGCAACAAACCGTCGCTGACTTTGCTGGCCTTTGTAGAGGGCGATTCGCGATTTCCTCAAGGTCCGAACCAGCTACGATGTCCTACCGCTCTCCTTCCGCCTTATTGTCCTCGACAACGACCTCTTGATCAAGAAGAGTCTCAATATCCTCATTCAAAATGGTACGAGTCATGCTACTCTGTCATGACAGGATGTTTGTTCTGACCATCGTCCCAGCCATCGTGTCCGCGCCGCTATGGGATTCGCACAATTCCAGGTTCGCCGGCCTTCTGACGGCGACAGATTTCATCAATGTGATTCAATACTACTGTCAGTTCCCTGACGAGATGCACAAATTGGAACAGTTCAGGCTCAGTAGCTTGCGAGGTCAGTGAAGCTTCCATCGCCGTCCAGGCTCTCGGTCGCATACTAAGAGGCTTGTCAGATATTGAAAAGGCTATCGGGGCCTCTCCACTCGAGACCGTATCCGTCAACCCCATGAGACCACTCTACGAGGCCTGCCGTCGCATGCTCAAGACTCGTGCGCGCCGAATCCCCCTCGTTGACGTTGACGACGAGACCGGGCGCGAGATGGTTGTTAGCGTTATTACACAGTACAGAATTCTTAAATTCATCGCCGTCAACAACGAGCACAACACCGTTCTACTCAAGAAGTCCCTCAGAGAGATTGGATTGGGCACATACAAGAGCCTTGCCACAGCGCAGATGCACGATTCTGTCCTCAGTGTGGTCGATCTGATGGTCAAGCAAAACATATCCTGCGTCCCGATTGTCGATAAGTACAACCGCCTACTGAACGTCTTCGAAGCCGTCGACATCATTCCGTGTATTAAGGGGGGGGTTTATGAAGAATTGCAGTCAAGCATCGGAGAGGCACTAGTCAAGCGTCCGGACGACTCGCCTGGCATCTACACTTGCAGCCCAGAGGACAGATTAGACTCGATCTTCGACACCGTCCGGAAGTCTAGAGTACATCGCCTCATAGTAGTAGACGATGATAATAGACTTGCGGGTGTCATCTCCCTGTCCGACATTCTCAAGTATGTGCTTCTGCACGGCGAAGAGGACGACGTCGTGGGGTACTGAAAGTGGAATAAAACGGAATTGCATAGAACCAAGAGCGACGGATCCTCGCTGGAATGACTTGGGAACCGGTAGACATGGTAATGAGCATGTGCTAGGCGTACAGAGGCGTAACTGGGAGGAATACCAGACGGTGCCCGAATTTCTTCATTTAACTTTCATTATAGACGATCGGGAGGCTCACGGAGAAGTTGGCTACCTGAATGCATTACGAAATGAGAACATGTCCCAAGTCATCATACATTGTAATGTACCGCCGTACCTCTTGACATGCTGCGAGATTCAGAGCAGTTGCCTGCCGTTGTGACGGGCTTTCTTGGAACACACCTCCCTCAACTTGGCTTGCATCAAGGTCGCCATAGTAATATCTTCAGGAGCAATGCCCGTCATATGGAATACTCATGGCAAGTGGCATTTACTCACAGGCCGATTATCGAATATACCACCAGCAACTCGCTTGGCCATGCTGGGCAGGTACGATGCCCCTCAGACGTACACTAAGAAGTAGACAGGCAGGTAGTTAGAAGCCAGCACCATTGGCGTTCCAACCCTCCCGTCCTCATCGCCCGTAAGTCACCTTTATTCGACATCTGACATTGGATATTCCCCGCCTCGATCCCAGTACCAGCGGACTCCAGCGTTCGATTTCGTCCACTTTTGGCCAAAGAATCCATTTCTTTTTTGCGATGCAGCCTTACGACAATAATCAATCACTATCATCGGGACTGTCTCGGGACCTCGAGACAGGAACCATCGAAAGCCAGGCCGTCAGCACTGCGCCGACCAGTACTGCGCCTCCTCAACTACCCATAGCGACCTCTATGCTGCCATCAAATACCGACCCTCAACCGCTAGCCAATTTGAGCACCCTTCCTGCCTTGGTCACTGGAGAAGGTCGACGGAACAGGGCTCTTCCAAGCAGCGCGACATGGACTTCTTCTGTCGGGGATTTAGCCCTGTTGTCAGACACGGATGAGATCCAGGACCGTCGGATATTTGTGCAGGATTACAATCGGTTGGCCAAGAAAGTATAGCAGCAGTCATCCCCTAGAAGGCATTTAACATTCTTCTAACGTGTACTGATAGCATGGAATTCGAGTACTTGCCGTGGATGGCTTCGGGGGGGGAGTAAGTTTCACCATGTTCGTGGCATGAAACGTTACTGACAAGTCTAGCAACACACACTGCCAGCCGTTATGACTGAGAAACGAAGGTGGTGGTCTCGAGTACTCCGTTCAACATCGTCAGGGCATCCGCCTACTTCGCGAGGACCGCCCCACGGAGTCCGTCACAAGCGAAGCGTCAGCGACATAGCCCTACATCTGGTTCATTCTCGCAAACCTGAACCCAAAATACTCGATCTACAAGCTATGGTTCGACTGAGCGGGAAGAGCCTCTTCCATCTCCCTGCCGACTATGCTACTGGCTCACTAGTTGTGCCGACTTGCTTCAGGGCCACTGCTCAATACCTTGCCCAGTATGGTATGCAACGGAGATCACCACACATTTGGAAGCATCTACTGACATCTTCTTTTACAGGACCTATTACACGCGGTGTCTTCCGCATTCCCGGTTCATTGCGCGTTGTCAATGCTATCTTCGACTACTACTGTTACGAAAATCCTGGAGAGGAAGTCACAAGTACCATACGCTGCCCAACTCTACCATCACATATCAATGCTGGTGCTCAAGACGTAGCCTCGGCTTTCAAGAAATTGCTATCTGCACTCCCGGGTGGCATCCTTGGCTCTCTCCCAATCTTTGACGCATTGGTCGCGATTCACAGTCAGCTTCGCGGAGAGCCAGAACTCAGCAGAACAAAAGAAACAAAGCTTCGCGCTAGACTCATTGCCATGGCTATTGGGACGATCAAGTCTCACTTCCGTCGAGAGCTCATCTGCGCTGTTTTTGGCCTTCTGTCCCTCATTGGACGTGCGGCTGAGACAGCAGCTCGTGAGGATGAGCAGGGCCGGCCACTTCCAACATCAGATTTGATGGGATATGCAGCTTTGGGAATCGTCTTCGGTCCTCTCCTCGTCGGCGATTTGCTCGACTCCTATACAATGAAGCTGGCAAACCCTTCTTCGGGTTTACTGCTCTTCCCCCTTACTCCACCGCGATTGAAAAGGGAACGGCTGCGCAAGAATAACATACAAGACAGCATAGGTCCCATGTCTGTCGACAAAATTCGTGTGGCAAACGACATTACCGACATGCTCATCTCAAACTGGAGAGAAGTAGTGCGCAATATGAAAGGCTTGTCGAGTTTCCGGGGTTCAACTGAAGATTTGGAGAGTACGCGCCTTCGGAGGTTTCTTCGTTCATCAAACTCAGATTCCCTCGCCGTTGGATTGCCCAAAGGCTGGAGGAGCAAGCATTCTTCGCCACGTACTTCGATCAATCGGCAGAGGTCAAGATCACCCACTACCCCTACACCGGCACCAAGTAAGTAGAGAGACATCCAAAAGTCTCGGTACCATGATAACTGACACACATGTAGAGGCTTTGGGTCTGGCATTGTCGAAAACCACCGGGAATCTAGACGACTCACTTCGCGTTGGAAGACTACGGCCGAAGTCTTCCCATTTACAGTCAGCGAACAGAATACCTTTGCGACAGTCCCTCAATCCACTGTCTCCAACAGCGGAAGAAAGTCTGGCAGATAACAGAAGCCTCAATGAGAGGAGACTAGTACCGGAAGCAAGTATTACCCCTCCACGTACGCAGACGCTAGAAACAGATCGGTCGATTGCATCCGAGAATAAAATACAGCCAAGCGCCACCAAATCCCTTGTAATTGACACAGAGGGCCAGACCGGTTCATCGGGCAGCCTTTCGATGGCTCAGAGCTTAGTTAACACGGCCGAGAAACTGGGGAGACGCCATGGCCAGCGTTCAATCGAATGTCCCCATGTATATGAGGAACTGCTACCCGAAGGGAACTCGGCGAAGACATCTCCAAAACGACTGCCATACACAATCTCCGAGAAGGGCATCTGGCCTGTACAAAGAAATGTACTCAACTCAGGGAGTGATTCCACAAGGCAGTCAGAGGACTGCAGGCCGAACACAAGCGGAATGGTTACTTCGGCACTTCGCCGATTCGTTGGAAGTAATCCAAGTCGTGCCTCAAGCTCCGGAAGCCCGACACCCCGAACTCCCAAGTCAAGACATACATCGCCCGATGCTATTAGCCCATGTACGCCCACTACTTCCGATGCAATCTTCATCCAGGCAACAACGTCAGAACATTCGTCGTATGTGAAGTCGCAGGGGCGTGAGATAGACAGAAGCGCAAAACTCACGGAAAACAATCCTGACAAATCTGCTTCAGCCAAACTAGATCACAGAAAGGATAGCTTTGATGTTAGCCGATTACGGGGCAAGAAACCAGACGAAAATATTCCAGGATCGAGCTCGCCCTCTCGAACTCCACGACGGAGCACAGAATCAAACGGCGGATCTGAAAGAAATGGTCCCATTCAGGTCACCCCAAAGGAGTTGATGGCCAAAAACGTCCCAACCACTCAACCTTGTCTTCCAGTCACGGCTTCGCCAGAGGCACTTTAGGGAAAGCTGCCCTCGGCCGATCCTGTTGATGATAATCTCTCTTGTTCAGCCGGTACCAAGGGTCCAAATGACTATGCACATCTGTTCGATACTCAGCGGATCCCTATGAATGATGGCATCTCTCAGGGTCAATCAAGGTCTCCACGACCGACAATAACGCTTCCATCGACTCTCTCAAGGCCGCAGAGTGTAGCATCCAAGGCAGAAGAAATTGCACAACGTTCTCGAGCATCAAGTTTGAGACCTGTCATGACGCCAGCTCGTCCGTCTGGTGGGAGTTATGGCAGCTCGACGCCATCGCATGGATCTATCTCAAAACCAGTTGGAGTGAGAGCCATGGCGGCCATGTTTGAGAATTCCTCCCAGGAGTCGCCTTACTTGTCTTTCCCTACAACTCCGCGCCCCTCTCGGACGAGTGTGACGGATCTGGGTTTGTTCCAGTCCAAGCAAGAAATCCCGTCGCTTGAGACGCCGGGAACGAAAGCATCGGCAGTGAGTCTTGGAAGGGGGGACCCGGTATCAAACAGTAGACTCTCGGACCACGATGATCAATCGATAAGTCATAATCTACGGTATGTCACTGACAGCACCGGGTCTTTGACTGCTCCTAAAGCAACCAATACTCACGGAGATGCCGTTCATCTTCACAGGCCATCTCTGGCACAACTTCAGCGGACACCGTATACCTCGGGGCGTAGGAAGTATCCCTCAAAGGCGTATGTCTTGGACGATGACAAGAATATACCTAGTCTTGGGACGATGACAAGTCCCGCTCATCAGCCGCCCATCGCACAGCATGTCACATTCCCCCGTCCCTCATCCACACTATCAGTGCGCCAACTAAACGAGGATGGCGTTCCGGTGCGAGCAGGGAGCCCAGGAAATAATTCCATGCTTCATGCTCAAATTCGGAGTCTTCAGAGGCAGCTGGATGTCAAAAATGAGGAGAACGCGTCTCTCCGGCGTCAACTTGAGACGAGAGATAACTTGGACATTGGAATACTCAGTGAACAACTGCGAGTGTCAAAAAGAGAGTGTGCCATCTGGAAATCTCGTGCCGAAGCTGCAGAAAAACGAGTCTCGGTTCTTGAACACTTCACGCGTAAGCTGAAGGGTATCAAAGGAGGAGATGCGCAGAACGACACCGACGCTTCATCGCAAAGCGGAAGAGACAGCATTGAGACGGTGGCTACAGAGGATGGAGAAGCTGTAGCGGAGAGAATTATGAAGGCTATGAAAGGTATGGCCGGAACAAGGAGCAGCGATGGCGGGGCTGCAGCTTGGTGGAATGACGACAGGCGTGGTAGTAACATCCGGCACTCAGAAGGCCTTGATGGACATCAGCGGCCGAATTTGACCGAGGAAGCATTACTTCAAGTTTGGGAGGCGGCACAGGAGTTGCTATTGAAGGATGATCATTGAAAATTGACGCGGGAGACCCATAGGCCGGCTGTATCAGGATATGGGCGTTGGGAAGCCTGAAGCATGCATTGGGGCTTGATTATAGACATTGAGGTTGTCTGTGTATCGATATGGTCTTACATATCCTACACTGACGAGTCGGTACGAAGCTATAATAGGGGTGTTGTCATGAAGTCGTAGTATTCATGTTCTGCAAAAGGGGCTACCTATAAGAACCATCTCTGGCTGCCCAGTGCCTGCGGAAACCGAAAGTAGCATAACGGGATACTAATCACTTTCCTCTCCCGGGTCACGGCGGATCCTCCACCGCCCTGCATCGTCCATTCGCATAGCGACAGTGCCAACGGCCATACGTCCGATGCCGTCCAGGATAGCGCCCAAGAGCTCCGAATCGTCGTCGGCAACCTGCTTGACTTCCACCACTTCCGACTCCTTTGGTCTTAACTTCTGCCGACGAGGCCTGCTCTCTTCAGCCTCCCGTCCTTCTCTGGCTTTAACGGTCCTACTGGAGCTCTCAGAAGAAGCCTTGATCTGTGGCTGCTTAGAGATGGAGGTTGAGTTTGATGTGGACGGGGCAAAAGTCGATCGTGAGACCTTGTCTGGTGACGGCGGCGTCGGAGGTAGAGCTGCTGTGCGAGAAGGGCGATAGGGAATACTTGTTTTCTTATTTTGATTCGCGTTGGGCGATTGTCCATGGTCTGGATCATACTTTTGGGGTTGTTGAGGTTGAAATGCCTGGAAGGTGGAAGAGTAACGCTTTTGGGTCTGCGGTGACGGGGGGTGAGTTAATGAAATAGGGGTAGTTGATCGATGCCGCGTCAGGTCGGGGGAAGGTGGAGTTGGCGTGGGCGGGATATATCGCGGGGGTCGACGTTGAGTGGTAGGCGGTGTCTGTTGCTGCTGCTGCTGCTGTCGTTGTAGCTGGCTGGGGTTCGCCGTGGTGGTGGTGGCGAGGGTAGTCGTCGTCGCCGGCCGGGTCACGGGAGCTCGGGGCGGAGTGTGCGCGTGCGCGTGATGACTGGGTGCGGGATTGGTGACCTGGTTGCGCCCGTACACGCGCCCGGACGGCTGGTGCCGTCAATTGTCAAAGACGAAGAGGTGCTTGTAGTGATTGGTTGCCTCTACCACGGCCGCGGCGAGCTGGTAGTCTGGAGTGTTGTCAGCGGTGTGCTTGTCGGGGGTGGTCATCATGAATGGCGCTGCAAGGGGGGTTGCGAGAGGGGCACGTTGTTGAACATGAGGTGGGGATGGGCTTGGAGCAGAGAAGAGCCTCTAATGGTGCCGGGGGCACAGGCATGGGTCTCAAACGGCGTGTCAAGTCCTTATAACAGAATACCGTTTGAACTGACGGGAGACAGGATATCTATATAGATGGACAAACGTGGTACTCACCAACATCGGCTCCCAAATCGCGGGAGGTAAGGACTTTGATGGACAGATCCGGGTTGACCTTGCCGATAATCTGAGCACCGTTGCCATTGGTGAGGTGGACATCCTGTCAAGGGTTAGCTCCCGTCTACCGATATACCAAAGTCGATCGGAGCAAAGCCATATTGCCTCAACAGAGCTTTTTGGAAGAAAAGACCTACACGGTTGAGAATAGCAGTGACGTTTCCATCGGCATCAAGAACAGCAGAGTCACCGCGCAGCTGCAAGACCTTGCCAATGAGCATGACGTTGCGACCGACGTAGTTGTCGAGATACTGCGCCGTGATGCGCGGGGTGGAGGTCGCTTCGGCCATGGCTTGATTGTTGGTGTTCTCGGTCCAATGGGTTGATTGTGCAAGGGTCTATGATGGGTGATATAGATCCAAAGGGTATAAAACTGACGGTAAGGCAGCGACCGATTGGATTGGATGCAGTTCGTCTGTTGGTCGAGATCTTTGGGATGGAATTTGGTCTTGAGTGAGGGGCAGACGCGCCGCGGCAAGACACACTCGCCCAGCACTTGTCGCGGTGTCAGGTGACCTGTCAGGTGGTCTGTGTTGACAGACCTTACCCAATCCGGACCATGGAGATCTGCGCTGGTCCCTGAACGGTTCTTAGGAGATCTTCAAAAACGTTATATTAACGGTATCCCATCTTCGCAACCGTCTCAATCATTATCTTCCCATCACAGGGAAGATGGAAGAATCAATCCTTGGCGAACCATGACGTGGCCCGGGGCAATTGACTTTTGACCGCCTGAAGTTTTCATGCCCAATCGGACATTTCACTGTTGGTTTGAAGGATTGTATCGAGTCCACCCACCAGACGGAAACATGGTGAGCGAGTCACCAAAGTGGTGCCTTGTGGATCTCATCCTACCACACAAGACTTTTCTCAGGACGGTTTCCTTGCATCCCTACGATGTCATTTGAGTCCCATTGCTTGTTTTTTCCTCGAAAGAGTTTGCAGGGCTCCGGTCGATCAATAACCGCCTCGTGATGGAGAGCCACTCCGTGATGATGGCTGACAATGGCCAAGCCTACCTGGTGGTTCCTCCTACATAGTATGCTCCCCTTCGACTTATCTTCTTACCTTCAGGGTAATTGGTAGAAGTTTTCTTCATCATACTTTGTCTCGTTCTACGAAGGAAGTCGACTTTAGAACGTTGCGCGATGATGATATTGATCTCGTTTTATGCCTGGTCTATCGTTGCTCGGCATGTTTCAATGTCGCCCTCTGACGACATTGCTCGTTTATATTGACTTTCCGGACGCATGAAGGGTCTTCCGGTGCAACCATCCAATCATACCACGTCTTTGCACAAAATAATAACGGCTCTCTGTCGCTCAACATGTTATTTCTAAGCCCCTAACACGTGTCGAGGTTCATCGTGGGTTGAGGCGTCAATCTCTTTCCATATTGGGGGCTACCGGTCTCGGCGGTGCATGGCAGACTGGGAAGAAACTTGGAATTCTGACAGCGGCAGGCAATCAATCGAAACGCGACGATTCGTCCAGGACCGAACCAAGGCGGGAACATGAGTCGGCGATGGGGACGCCGCAATCACTCCACCCTGACATTGGCGGTGGGCGGACTGAGTAACAAAGTTCCCGTGTTGTTTACCATCCTGTGATCCAAGATTAGCACATACTGCGTAATGCATTTGTCGAGACAATGTGGCATCGAGTTGAGTTGCGTTGGAAAAAATCACCTGTCGTTCTTCGGGTCGGGAGTCTGGCAATCTGCAGACAGCGGCTGATAGAAAAAAGGTTGAGTTGGGTGGGTGACAATGACAACGAGACGAATTCAGGGTCCTTTGGCGGCAGCACATAGCTGCAGGGAAGGGCCATTGAGGCCAAGGCCCCTGACCGGGGTTGAGCAGACGATCTTGGTTGAAAACAGGGCATTTCTGTAAGGGTTGACCTAGTGTGTCTCCCTACGCCGTACGGGGACGCGAACCGCTGGTTTCTTCACACGCGCAACATCATCTCAATGACCTCAGTGGTTTGTCCAAGGTTCATTGGGCTGTAAGAAGGTGGTTTGGGACGTTTCTTCGGCCGCTCTCCTTTCCATTTTGGGTCGAAGTCGGGGTCTCCCAAAAATATTGTACACTATTTCTGGTCAAGACTCAGAGGGTGGAGTGAGATAGGCGGACATGACGGGCATAACGGGTGACATCAGGCTTGGAGTTGCCGTTATCTTCTCGGGCCGTGATAGTGCAGTCGCGGATCGCAACACGGCTACCCGGGCTAGGTGGCTAGGATGCTCACCAGGAGTAGTGGACGAAGTATCCGTACAGGACCCATGGCGCAATGAATCGCTGGCGTATAATCAGCGATCTGGCATGGTGATATCTGGCGCTGACAGCCTAGGCTATCGGCCGATATAGATCTAGAAAACATCGTAAGCCTGGGGCGTTCTGTACATTTTGGACGTGACTGTTGGGTCTCGCCGCATCTCTTACTCACTATGCTCAGATAGTGTGTAATGTGTGCAGCTGGGGCCCCGCTGGGCATGCCGGTCGCTCCTTGGAGAAATGGAGTTCCCCCAAAATAAGACCAAGACGGGACCAGTTGAGGTAGAAAGAAGGACTAGAAACCAGAAACAGAACAGGCGTGAGTACGTGTACTGCGTAAATAGTAGTTCCAAGGAGGGAAAGCATCGCGAGTGCTAAGCTGGCTCCCTCACCATCGTCGTTGTCGAGATGCAGGTTGATGTGGGGGGATGAGAAGAGAGCACTTGGGTCTCTATCGTCCACAGTATCCGTACCTACACAGTAAGGTAATCAAGGCATGGGTGTCCAAGGTGGGCAAGTTCAGAGCTGTTTTCTGTTCACGGCGGTTTGACGTGACTGTTTTGGGCGACGCTGAACACTCTCGATGAGGTGGGCTGCTTTCCCTCCTCTTTCTCCACTCAAGGTACCAAGCGTTCCCGAGCTTCCCCCTGTTTTCCTGCCCTGCACCTGCCAGTGATGGGCCATGGCACTCCCCAACCTAAGCAGAGACGTACTATGTAGACGGCCCACGGCACAGCGGGAAGCATCAAGCAAAGCAGGCATGCAGGGCAGGGTTACAGGGCCCTGGGCAGGCAGGAAGCTGGCAACGGCGGGGCCGCGACGATTAGGTGGATGGGAAGCTCGACCCGGCGCCCGGACCTCCCACCGAGAGCATTTTCCATTGGTTCCCGGGCAGAGCCAATGTCACATCCCATCTGTGCTGCACTGTTGCTGCTGTTCCCAGACTTTCACACCCACTCCATGTTCCAGTCAACTCTCTGGTCTGTGCCTTCACCCTCACCGGCCTTGGTCCCTGGAGGGCTTTTGGATTGGAGTCTTGGTAGTACGGAGTAGGTATCGTTACGACGAATGTTGGGCAAATTCTCATCTGGAATGCGTCGCTCAATGTGCCTCTTCTGAAGTTGCTAAAAGCGACTAGCTCGAACTTAGGCACTGACACACCGTTCGATGCGTCTCCTCGTGCCCCGGCCGTCCGTGAAGTGCCCTGGGAAGCAACGGCTCCATGGACTTTGGAGGCAGTTCGGCGCCGTGGACCCATATCGGTCACCAGTGTGCTGCACAAAAAGGGGAGGAGAAAGAAGCGCAAGGAAGAATATGGACCTAGAGGACTGAAATGTAATGACGAACAGCAAACGGCGACGAAATCGAATAGTGAGTGCCTTCCATTATTGTGATTAATCTCCGGAGTTTTTCATCCGAAAGAACATGGACTTGGTCGCAGCTTTCCAACTTCTGCCAACAATTAACCCCCAAGGTAACGGCCCCATGGCGAACCCAGGAAGGAGAAGGTGGGAGGGGGAAGGGACGGCAGGGTACTCCATGGGTACCTGGAGGCTTTGGTGGAGGTGTCTTCTCGTCAGGCTCTGGCATCCAATGATGTATCGGGATACTTTTCCCACAGCGAGGAGCGTGCCAACCTACCTTACACAACAGAGGGGTGTGTGTGTGTCTGAAGACGAAGCGTTGGATGAAGCTTAGACGGGACTCGGGAGGTCTGGTTGCCTTGGCTCCTCCAGCAATATGTGCGATAATAATTAACATCCAGTTCTGCTACACTACACAGCTATGGCACCGTCTGAGAGGCAAATTGTGCCTAGCGTAGAAGCTACACTGTGTATGTACCTTACCTACTTACCCCGCCATCTCGTGTCGCGCAGCCAAGGTAAGCTAAGGTGAATTCATGTACCATACCTAAGGCAAGGGAGGTATCCAAGTGAGGGTGCCCAGCTAATACCTACAAATTCAAATGGTTGCAATGGTGGTGCTGGAAGTTTGGAACCGGTGCTGATATTGGCGCTGCATGTGTACAACCACCATCGACTGTCTCTGACAGATAAGATGCCTGTGTGTTAGCTGTTTGGTTTGATCTGATCCAATCCAATGTGATTGCTTCTGCCGAGGGAGCAGCATTTCAGTCTAAGGTAAAGGTAGCTAGCTACCTTCAGCCAATGTAGATGCACCATCTCGCCTAACTGCTTTCCTGTCCTTTCTATCCGTACCTAATTACCTGCCTTACCCTCTTTAAGCTAAAGTAGCGCGAGGTAGTTGGAGCCTGAGCTAAGGGCAAATGGTAGGGGAAATGCTGTTGAGGAAAGTAGAAACGCAGTGTTCGAGGTAATGCAATTGTCGAAGCCCCTTCTCCTTCCCGCCTGCCCATGTGAGGAGGTATGCGGTACCTTACCAAGTACTGTTATGCCATTGAAGTTCCCGACCCCATTTCTGTTCATCACCTGCCGACGACGACTTCCCATCCCCGTCTTTCATCCCCCCTCCCGAGCTCCTCCTAACCTGCACACTGTCTGTTCCTGGGAAAAGCTCCTACCTGCCCACTTCGAGCCTCACTGATCCCACATCCATTGTCAATCCCGCTCCCATCTGGACTCCACCGTCGCTCCTCTCTGTCATAGCTTGCTTGTCTTGAGCATCGTTCTGATCGATAGCCGGAGCCTACTCCGCTGCTGTCGTCCTCAGCCCATTTGTCCACAACCTGAACACTCAACACAGCTCCGAGCATCTCCATCCTCTCTCTCTCTCTCTCTCTCTCTCTCTCTCTCTCCTCTCTCCTCTCTTCGACAACCTGAGAGGATCTCGCCCGGCCCTGCTTCCGTCGTCTTTTGCTTGGCAACCTCCGACCCATCCCTGCCCTCCCGCCGACATCTTCCTTGTGTGACCGCGACTGCGACGGCCCCATCAAACTGCAAGCATTACCAGCCCAGTGCTCAGTGCCCACACCACCACCACCTGAACATCCTTGTCTGGCTGATGGCAAGACGTTGCCGCGCCCTCACCTCACTGCAACCGGCACCACGACGATAAACTGACTGCCATGACATTGGCCTTCCTCACCAACATCGACGAAATAATACTCGACGCTCAACTTTCCGACTGATCGGTACTCTCTTTGACCGGGTGCATCATTTTTGGCTTCTTCGTCGAACCACCAGAGGTTCCGTTCGCTCCGGATTATTGGCAGTCCTTCGGCTTGTTGGAACGGTGCCCCGCTGATCTTTGGCTACCGTTTCCCGTCAAGAAACGCCCCGTCGCCGGCCTGCTTCGACCGTATTGTTCCTCATATCGCCCGGCTCGGCAGCTTTCCAGATCGTCGACAGTGTCTTTCCTCACTGACGCACGATCAGCTGCCCCAATCACCAGTGGTACGCAGATTTCAAACCTTTATTGAGAACCCCGCAGTACCTTCAAACTCCCGTCCTCTGCGATATATCGCAACATCCCTTCACCAGCTCCTCCCGTCTCTGCCGTTTGCGCCTACCTAGCCCTTCTATGTAACGTACGCCTCCTCGTCCTGTTGCTCCATCCCAGAATCCTTTTCGGGCCAGCCTATGGTACTGCCTTTCTGCGTGTGGGGGAGTGCGAATACCCACGGTGCCCCATTTACCAGCGACCCCTCCGTTTCTACACAATTATCAAGGTATTGTCAGTTGCTCTTGATAATGCCTGTCTCCCGGCTCCACCGAGCCACCCACTTCCATCCGCATCATCGACCTGTCGCAATCCCAATCCATCGTTCCCTCATGCTACATCTTCTTAGTCTCGCTCAATCTTTTCTTTGATACTGTTAAACGAAAACACTGACCAATGGGCATTGTAGCTTGCCCTCTTACGTTTTCGATCTCGACGAGGATCAGCTTCGCTTTTTGAACAAAGCAGCACCTTCTCGTAACCGAAGCCACCCCACGTCCTCATTGAGACCGCACCGCGCAACCAAATTTGGGTCTTGTCCACCGCCAAGTACACGCAGGCGTCGAGATTAGTCCGAGTTTGTAGCAGAACTCTTCATCGTGTGTTTTCTCGCTTTTTCACCTTCCTGTCCACAGCCTTCGCTTTTGCCTTGTCTTTTTTCCCTTGTACTGGACGGCATCCTTATCGGTCTCCTGGTCGGCTCAGCAAGCAAGCCCAGACTTTGTGCCACGCGCAAACCACTTGGTAGTCTCTACGCATTGGGTAGGTCAGCAACGCACGACACAACGTTCATTGTCCGAGCCTCGACCAGTTAACGCTTTCCCGCGGCCGGTACACCTTTTTTCAGCAGATCCTGAGTTCGACGCCTTCTCCGGACCTGGCGAGGTCCTTAGCCTGGACGATGAATACCCCTCCGAGCTTCTTCAATGATGCGGTTGATATTGCAACACCGACTAACAATGACTTCCCCAGCGATCAACCACGGACATTACATCTAGATTCGCTCGATTTGGTCCGACCGGAAGATAGCGACACATCGGACAACATGTCACACCATCCTTCCGTATATATGCCTGTACCGGGTGCTTGGGATCCACTGGTGACTGGCATGCCCTCGTTCTACAGTCATCATGGCCAGGCACAGTACGATACGAAGCAAGAAGACGTTGAGGATAGGCCGACGATACTGAAAATACCTCCGGCTGCAACATTTCAATCGGGTGCGCGGGCCAACTCCAACAACTCGATGCAATCCCAAACGTCAAAATCGAGCCGGGCAGCGGACCTTTATGATGCCAGTCCACCCAGGAAGAAGGGAAGGAAAGGCAAAGCTCCGGAGCAGAACGATCAGGACCCGAAAAGAGACAAGTTCCTCGAACGAAACCGAGTCGCCGCGAGCAAATGTCGCCAGAAGAAGAAGGAATGGGTCTCAGATCTCCAGGAAACCAAGCAAGGACTGGAGAACCAGCATGCACAGCTGCAGATGGAATACAACGGACTGGTTGACGAAGTCACGAGAATGAAGAACGAGCTCATGTCGCACGCAAACTGCAACGACCCGAACATCAACCTATGGCTAGACAATGAGGCCCGACGGTTTGTTCAGGTGAGCGCAGAGCGTGTGAAGAAGCAAAGTCTCGATGTCAGCCGCATGGCTGGCAACAGGCCACTCGGCACTGGAGGAGGTTATAGACCGTCTATTGACAGTAAGGAAACCCATCATCCCACGACACAACATTGGAGATGTTGATTGATGCCAGGTCAAATGTCTCTAATATCTCCTGCCCGCTCAGAGCGTGCTATGACGAGCCTGTCTTCGAGATCTGGCAGTGATGCCGATATCAACTATGACCACATGCCCGACAGTGCTTTTGAACACGCGTAGCGCGCTGTGAGGGGTGACGATACGGCATGAATAGCAAGGCGTTGGGACTTGGGAAGCCGAGTCTTCCTAGGCACAACGTGATTAAGGAGCTCTCACTATCTTGAGTAGGGTTTCCAGATTAGGAGTTCGGATGGTTTTTTGGGACATAGCCATGCTATGAGCAACGACTTGGGAGGATAATGACAATAGGGGACCAGACGGAAGATCTGAGCCGTCAGCCAACGGACCAGAGCTGGGAACGCGACGGGATACCCTGGTGGACATTTGGGCTGTACATCTTTTGAGGTGAAAAATTCCACAAGCCGGACTAGCAATGGGGGATTCGCATAGACACAAGAAAATCATATCAACAAAGAAAATTCGGCACAAAGCCACTGGGCGGATGCTGTAGCGTTACTGGAAGTCTAAGGCCCTATTCAACTCGGTAGCTTGGCGTGACATCTCTCGGGATATTGCTACCTCAAGGAGTTGGACAACTTGGTATGGGTTCCCCGTATACAAGGAAGCCAACCCCTCCTTAAACTGAACGGCAATTGTATCCGATCAGCTGCAGGTGATCCATGAGAAGCTTGCTCAGGTCCTAGTTGCGGTGGGTCCAAGTAAGGTAGGCCAGTGGATGAAGGACGCCGTCGACCGAGTGTATCGTGGATGGTCGAGATGTTCATCTGCCTACGCAGCTGCTAGCTTGATGACTTTTTCCCTTCTCTGTTCCTTCTCTTTCAATGTTCCATCGAACCGTCTGCGTGGATGTCGAAGGAAGGCGAGCTTTCTTTAGTTGGCGATGGAGTCGGTGTCCACTAAAGCTGTTCACCACCTTTTTCACCTCCTCATGCCACGTGGGGCAATGGGGGCCAGCGGTGGTTGGTACGGATGTATACGTTCGTAGTAGGCAACGTTTGGGCTCGTATTCGATGAGTTTTCGACGTCAGTCGTACTGGTACTGGGTTGGGGATGAGTTGGGCTGTCGGCTTCGGTTTGGGACAATCGGTGTCAGGGTTCGTCGTTTCTGGTGAGCTGGACGTAATCTTGCCAAGACGATTCTTTGATATCCTTGTCAGTGGAATATGGGTCAAGCTGCACCATCCTGATCAGCCTGCGGGTTGGTGGTGTTGTGAGAGTGGTACGGAGGTTCGATGATGAGGCGAGTCGTCTGGGTTGGGTTTCACGGAGGTTCAATGGAGGGGAGTTTCGAGGTTAGAGAAACGAATGGGTTCAAGATTGGATCAAAGCCATTGAGCCCTTTTGCGAAGTCGAAGTGTCGAGGTGTCTAGTCGTCGAGGGAGAGGAGGGTGTGATGGAAACGATAGTATTGGTGCCGAAGAAGGTGAGGACGATGGATCATTCTGTAGATCTTCCCTGCCGAGACTGATACGCTGGCAGCTATCAGTGGTCTGTATCGGGGTCCTTCTTCAATTTATTCTAGAACTCAGAGGCAAAGTTGCTGAAGCTTGCCCGGG